CGTGTCCAAACAGCTCTTCCCCAGTAACCAGTATTTGTTTGGTGGTGGTAGAGGCCAATCCAAGGACGACGGGTGGAATATTTTGTACCTTGGGGAAGTTTTGACCTAAGCTGGTAAAGAGAAGCTTAGGAGGTTTTTCATGCAGGTCCCCACATCTGTACCCTAGCGTTCAGAGTGGGGAAGGAACCTTGACACAAGCCATTTACAACGCACACTTTGCTTCTCTACAAAAGAAAAAGGACACTAAACTTTCTAAACTACTACATGCTACAAGGGGCCACAGCAATGGTTCCCTCAACCCACCCAGCAATATTGTTAACCTATCCAACTATACTCTCAGCCCAGCAGAAGAAGCTGTCCTATCTCGGGGCCTCTCCTTCTGCCCCTCCACCACCACGAACATGATACAGTTCTGTGGTGACCTAGAATCCTATTTTCGACGTCTCCGACTCAAGGAATATTTCCAAAATACCTCTGAACAACATACTAATCTACAGAGGCCTCCCTACCAACATTACAAAAGGAAGGATTCTAGGTGGACTCCTCCTGAAGGTCGAAACAGCAGACTGGACTTCTACATAGAATGCTTCCGCCGACGTGCACGGGCTGAAATTGTGGAAAAGCAGCATCACTTGCCCCATAACCTCAGCCGTGCAGAACACAATGCCATCCACAGCCTCAGAAACAACTCTGACATCATAATCAAAAAGACTGACAAAGGAGGTGCTGTTGTCATCATGAATAGGTCGGAATATGAACAAGAGGCTGCTCGGCAGCTCTCCAACACCACTTTCTACAAGCCATTACCCTATGATCCCACTGAGGGTTACCAAAAGCAACTACAGCATTTGCTCAAGAAACTTCCTGAAAAAGCACAAGATCAAATCCTACACCCCTGGAACCCCGACCTGGGATATTCTATCTACTACCTAAGATCCATAAACCTGGAAATCCTGGGCGCCCCATCACCTCAGGCATTGACACCCTGACAGCAGGATTGTCTGGCTATGTAGACTCCCTCCTCAGGCCCTACGCTACCAGCACTCCCAGCTACCTTCGAGACACCACTGACTTCCTGAGGAAACTACAATCCATCGGTGATCTTCCTGATAACACCATCCTGGCCACTATGGATGTAGAAGCCCTCTACACCAACATTCCACACAAAGATGGACTACAAGCCATCAAGAACACTATCCCCGATAATGTCACGGCTAACCTGGTGGCTGAACTTTGTGACTTTGTCCTTACCCATAACTATTTTACATTTGGGGACAATGTATACCTTCAGATCAGCGGCACTGCTATGGGTACCCGCATGGCCCCACAGTATGCCAACATTTTTATGGCTGATTTAGAACAACGCTTCCTCAGCTCTTGTCCCCTAACGCCCCTACTCTACTTGCGCTATATTGATGACATCTTCATCATCTGGACCCATGGAAAAGAAGCCCTTGAGGAATTCCACCATTATTTCAACAATTTCCATCCCACCATCAACCTCAGCCTGGTCCAGTCCACACAAGAGCTCCACTTCCTGGACACTACAATGTTAATAAACAATGGTCACATAAACACCACCCTATACCGGAAACCTACTGACCGCTATTCCTACCTACATGCCTCCAGCTTTCACCCTGACCACACCACACGATCCATTGTCTACAGCCAAGCTCTGCGATACAACCGCATTTGCTCCAACCCCTCAGACAGAGACAAACACCTACAAGATCTCTATCAAGCATTCTTACATCTACAATACCCACCTGCGGAAGTGAAGAAACAGATTGATAGAGCCAGAAGAGTTCCCAGAAGTCACCTACTACAGGACAGCCCTAACAAAGAAAATAACAGAACGCCACTAGCCGTCACCTTCAGCCCCCAACTAAAACCCCTCCAACGCATTATTAAGGATCTACAACCTATCCTGAAGGATGACCCAACACTCTCACAAATCTTGGGAGACAGGCCAGTACTTGCCTACAGACAGCCCCCCAACCTGAAGCAAATACTCACCAACAACCACATATCACTCAACAGAACCACTAACCTAGGAACCTATCCTTGCAACAAAGCCCGTTGCCAACTGTGCCCACATATCTATTCAGGGGACACCATCACAGGGCCTAATAACATCAGCCACACTGTCAGAGGCTCGTTCACCTGCACATCCACCAATGTGATATATGCCATCATGTGCCAGCAATGCCCCTCTGCCATGTACATTGGTCAAACTGGACAGTCTCTACGTAAAAGAATAAATGGACACAAATCAGATGTCAAGAATTATAACATTCATAAACCAGTCGGAGAATACTTCAATCTCTCTGGTCACGCAATTACAGACATGAAGGTCGCTATCTTAAAACAAAAAAACTTCAAATCCAGACTCCAGCGAGAAACTGCTGAATTGGAATTCATTTGCAAATTGGATACTATTAATTTAGGCTTAAATAGATACTGGGAGTGGCTAAGTCATTATGCAAGGTAGCCTATTTCCCCTTGTTTTTCCTACCCCCCCTCCCCCACGACGTTCTGGTTAAACTTGGATTTATGCTGGAAATGGCCCACTTTGATTATCATACACATTGTAGGGAGAGTGGTCACTTTGGATGAACTATTACCAGCAGGAGAGTGAGTTTGTGTGTGTGTGTGTTTGGGGGGTGGGAGGGTGAGAACACCTGGATTTGTGCTGGAAATGGCCCACCTTGATTTTCATACACATTGTAGGGAGAGTGGTCACTTTGGATAAGCTATTACCAGCAGGAGAGTGGGGTGGGAGGAGGTATTGTTTCATGGTCTCTGTGTATATAATGTCTTCTGCAGTTTCCACAGTATGCATCCGATGAAGTGAGCTGTAGCTCACGAAAGCTTATGCTCAAATAAATTGGTTAGTCTCTAAGGTGCCACAAGTACTCCTTTTCTTTTTGTTAACGTAGCTTGACAGACAACACAATTAATGACAGGTTTCAGAGTAACAGCCGTGTTAGTCTGTATTCGCAAAAAGAAAAGGAGTACTTGTGGCACCTGAGAGACTAACCAATTTATTTGAGCATAAGCTTTCGTGAGCTACAGCTCACTTCATGGGATGCATAAAAGTGGAAAATGCAGTGAGGATGTTTTTATACACACAGACCATGAAAAAATGGGTGTTTATCACTTCAAAAGGTTTTTCTCCCCCCACCCCACTCTCCTGCTGGTAATAGCTTATCTAAAGTGATCACTCTCCTTACAATGTGTATGATAATCAAGGTGGGCCATTTCCAGCACAAATCCAGGGTTTAACAAGAACGTCTGAGGAACCGGGGGGGGGGGGGACAGGAAAAAACAAGGGGACATAGGTTACCTTGCATAATGACTTAACCACTCCCAGTCTCTATTCAAGCCTAAGTTAATTGTATCCAATTTGCAAATGAATTCCAATTCAGCAGTCTCTCACTGGACTCTGGTTTTGAAGTTTTTCTGTTGTAATATCGCAACTTTCATGTCTGTAATCGCGTGACCAGACAGATTGAAGTATTCTCCGACTGGTTTATGAATGTTATAATTCTTGACATCTGATTTGTGTCCATTTATTCTTTTACGTAGAGACTGTCCAGACTGAAACCAGACTTAAACTGTGATAATGTAGGTTTAGAAAAATTGTCACGGGTGTTGCCCATACTGGTATTCCAGGAGGTGTGAGATTGGGGGAACTCCACATTTGGGGGAGAAGGAATACACACTGCTCACAGTTTAAGTCTGGACAGTCTCTACGTAAAAGAATAAATGGACACAAATCAGATGTCAAGAATTATAACATTCAAAAATCAGTCGGAGAACACTTCAATCTCTCTGGTCACTCGATTTCTGATCTCAAAGTGACTATCCTTCAACAAACAAAATTTGAAAACAGACTCCAACGAGAGACTGCTGAATTGGAATTAATTGGCAAATTGGATACAATTAATTTAGGCTAGAATAGAGACTGGGAATGGTTGATTCATTATAAAAAGTAACCTATTTCCCCTTGCTTATTCCTTTCCTTAAACCCTGGATTTGTGCTGGAAATGGCCCACCTTGATTATCATACACATTGTAAGGAGAGTGATCACTTTAGATAAGCTATTACCAGCAGGAGAGGGGGGAGGGAAAACCTTTTGTAGTGATAAACACCCATTTTTTCATAGTTTGTGTGTATAAAAACATCTTCTGTATTTTCCACAGTATGCATCCGATGAAGTGAGCTGTAGCTCACGGAAGCTTATGCTCAAATAAATTGGTTAGTCTCTAAGGTGCCACAGGTAACACAATTAATGTATCTAAAACTGCAGGATAACTTCTAATGAGACATTGGGCTTTGGACACGGAACCAATGCGCACAGCAATGGCTAGTTGGTTCAACTAGCAACCTATCTTCATCCCATTTAAAATTGCCATCTGGTCTGGTGGAACAAAGTGGTGGGAATAAAACGAGAATCCCGGGCCCTGCGTTCACCCATTTTGACTTCTTAGTGGTTCTTGTTAGCGGCAGCCCAGGCATGTGTGGGTTTTGCGTGGGCACAGGGGCTCTTGCCCAGATCCTTGCAAGGTTAGAACCTCAGGGAGAGTATCCTACTGCCAGTGATTATGCTTAGGAGCCCAAAGGGGAGCTGCGAGGCTGGTGGGGAGAGGCCCGAGTCGCCCGACTGAGCGAGGTGCCATTAGCTGCCAAGGTCAATCCCCTGTAGCGGGGACAGTGATTGCAATGTAACAGACACAGCTGAGGAAAGGACACGGGCGCCCTATTCCCAGAGCCAGGCCAAGGCTTTGCTGAGCTGGTGGGGACCCTGCCCAGTGTAGACGGGTCAGCCAGACTGTGCCACGCAGCGATCCCCGGCCCCACCAGCACAGTGAGCGTGGGCGAGCAGCCCAGCCACGCGGCTACGACGGACGGGACTATAGCACAGAACTGGGGGCGGGAGATTCGTGACGGAACATCCCCCGCCCCGCGAATTGCCGAGTCCCCCCACATCCGCGCATGCTCCCCAGCCCCGCCTGCAGTCACTTCGCAGGAAGTTTGGCCTTTCCGCAACCCGTAGACACCGCGGAGCTTCCTTAGCAACCGGCGGGACTGGAGGTGTCGCTGAGAGCGAGGCGCTGCGGAGCCCCGGCCTCTGGCGGACCTGGTAAGAGTGGCGGCGGGAAGCCGGGAAGGGGCTGGGCTAGGGCGGAGGGCTACTCCGGCGGGGCTTCGTCCGAGAGTTCCTCCGCCGACAGGCTGTAACCGCCAGAGTTACGGACCGAGACTCGCTCCTCCTCGGACCTGGGGCCCCGCACACGGCCCCATAGACTAGAGCCGCAGCAACACCTCAGAGCCCTGCCGACGCCCCCCGGGGACTCGAATCCCGCCAATACCCCAGAGCCCTGCTGCTGACACCCCATCGCGGCCTGGAAGCTGCATCCCACCCAGAGCCCTGCAGATGCCGCCATGGACCCACGTCCCGCAGAGCCCCTTAAAAACTCCTGAAGAAGTGAGGTTTTTCCCCAAGGAAGCTTATGCTCAAAATATATTTGTTAGTCTTTTTAAGGTGCCACCGCACTCCTTGTTGTTTTTTTAAAAACCTCCGAGGGACCCGAACCCTGTATCCTCCCCAGCCCTGCAAACACCCTCCATGGACTTGACCGCACATCTGCTCCAGAGCCCCGCAAACACCTGTCCACACAGACCCACATCTAGGGTGACCATCTTTCCCAACGGGAAGGCGGGACGCCTCACGAGGCCCAGCCCAAGTGCCGCCCGTGTGGCTGTCCCAAGCTGTTCGCCTGAGCCCCGCCTCTGCACGAGTCTGGCGTTGCTGCTTGCCCAAGCCGTGACTCCTTCCCTGCGTGGAGCTGGTATCGCAGCTTGTCCCCCAGCACATTCCTCCACATCCCACCTTTTTTGATAAAAATGGGCATTTGTTTTGTTTGTTCTTGCCAGCTGATCAAGTTGGCAAGAGAAAACTGGACAAATATCCACCTTTGCCAAAAATTCAGAACGGCTGGAACAGGGCTTTAAAAAAGGGACTGTCCCTGCCAAAACAGGACTTTTGGTCACCCTACCCATATCCTACAGAGCCCTGCAAACATCCCCACAGTCCCAAATTCCATATCTCTCCTGAGCCCGACATACATCCCAATTGATCTGTACCCCACAGAGCCCTGAAAATGCCCCTTATAGCTCTGTAACCCTGCATACCCCTTTAGAGTCCACACGCAGCCCATGGACCCATGCCACACATTCTCCCCTGTACCGTGCATACACCCCCAGCTGCCTACATTTCCTATTCAACCCTCTACATAGAGCTATACTTTCCATAGAACCATGCAAAAATTTCGTAGACCTATATGACACATATGCCCCCAAAGCTCTGCTTACATTCCCGTTGATGCCCTTGCTGATTTCCTCATATAACCCTGCATGTACCTCCCATAAATCTATAACACTCAAATATGGTGTATAGAGAGTGCGTACTCATTACATAATCCCCTGTATGTGCACTCCAGAGACCTTAACTTCTTCATATGTTCTATATACCAATAGTCCCGCCTCTGTGCCTCCAAAGAACTATAATTCTCCACCTGACCTTATAGTTTCACTCCTCTGCATATACCACTCCTAGACAAAAAGCCCCACCTGAAGCATCCCCTTTCCATCTGATGAATCTTCTGTGGCCGATCAGGTGGGAGTCCTGCTTTGTGAACCACAGAAGGTTCTTCAAGTGGAAAAGGGTGGGAAGCAATACTGCTTCCCCCTCTGCCTCCACTTCATTTTCCTGAACTCCTGAAATGTTCCTTAGCTTCCCTCACTTCCAAGATTATTAGGTTACTATTTATGAATAGGAATGAGGGTGTAGATAGCCCCTATGCTAATGTTCCTCCTTCATATTTCTACAGTGTCCAGAATGTGCCTGAGAGTAGATTCCAACAGTTTTGTGGTAGCTCGCTAGAGCCTCACTACTACAATTCTGCTCAGTACTTCCTTTGGGTGTTTTAAAGAAGCCAGTGTTGCTTGGGCCACTCTGCTCCTTTCTTTCTATAGCCTGGCTAATGGCTTCCAGTCCCCACTCGTGCAGGGAGAATTCCTACTTGTGATGGGTAAAGGAGCAAGTTGGTATTTGAAGCCCTGGATATTGTGATTCTACCTTTCCACAAGTCTGTGACTCTAACTCTCTCTTCTTCTGCTTTGAAACCTTTCCTCATGCTTGCTTGTTTTATTTCTGTTTAAGGATTTTTAATTTAGGTCTGTTTTCTGCCATTGGGATGCTTTTATTTCTAGTTTCAATCTTGAACATCACTTCTATGCATCTCACTGTACCTCTGCTCTCTGATCTCTCCTAAATGTGTGTCATTTATACATTTCTATTGTGCAGTCGACTCCTGGCTGCATGAATATCAAATACAGTGGTAGAAAGACTGAAGTCTTCTTGGGTAAAGTACTCCCCCTCCCCCCTTCTTGTAATTCTAACTCTGTTACTGTCTTCTTTAACTCCTATCTTGATTTGTCCCCAGGTGCTGACATTTTTCAGTTATCCACAGCCACATATTTTATTTTAATTTTTGTTCCTCTTTGCTGGTAAGGTCATTATATCTGGAATATTAGAATTTGTTGTTGACTACTTTCTTCTCTGCTGAAATCTTTATCATGTGGCTTTATTAATTCTCAGAAGAGAAACTGATTTAGAGTGTCTTACTATGGATGACCATGCTGGTTATTACATTATAATATTTTTCTTCTAAAATGTGCTCTTCCAACAGTCTGTAAGCACATGTTAAAATGTTAAACTAATTAACAATATTAAACTAAATGATCTGTGCACTATATTAAAACAGATGGCAGATACTATATTTTCACTATGTTTGCTACCTAGTGGAACATAAGAATGGCCATACTGGGTCAGACCAAAGGTCCATCAAGCCCAGTATCCTGTCCTCTGACAGTGGCCAATGGCAAGTGCCCCAAAGGGAATGAACAGACAGGTTATCAAGTGATCCATGCCCTGTCACCCAGTCCCAGCTTCTGGCAAACAGAGGCTAGGGACACCATTCCTGCCCATTCTGGCTAATAGCCATTGATGGACCTATCTTCCATGAATTTATCTAGTTCCCTTTTGAACCTTGTTATACTATTGGCTTTCACAACACTCTCTGGCAAGGAGTTCCAGAGGTTGACAGTGTGTTGCGTGAAAAAATACTTTCTTGTGTTTGTTTTAAACCAGCTACATATTAATTTAATTTGGTGGCCCCTTGTTCTTATATTATGAGGAGTAAATAACACTTTCTTATTTTCTTTCTCTATACCACTCATGATTTTATAGACCTCTATCATATCCCCACTTAGTTGCCTCTTTTCCAAGCTGAAAAGTCCCTGTCTTATTAATCTCTCCTCATACGGAAGCCGTTCTATACCCCTAATCATTTTTGTTTCCCTTTTTTGAACCTTTTCCAATTCCAATATATCTTTTTTTGAGATGGGGTGAACACATCTGCGTGCAGTATTCAAGGTGTGGGCATACCATGAATTTATATAGAGGCAATATGATATTTTCTGTCTTATTATCTATCCCTTTCTTGATGACTCCCAACATTCTGTTTGCTTTTTTGACTGCCGCTGCACATTGAGTGGATGATTTCAGAGAACTATCCACAATGACTCCAAGATCTCTTTCTTGAGTGGTAACAGCTAATTTAGATCCCCTTATTTTATATGTATAGTTGGGATTATGTTTTCCAATGTGCATTACTTTGCATTTATCAACATTAAATTTCATCTGCCATTTTGTTGCCCAGTCACCCAGTTTTGAGAGATCCGTTTGTAGCTCTTTGCAATCTGCCTGGGACTTAACTATCTTGAGTAGTTTTGTATCATCTGCAAATTTTGCCACCTCACTGTTTACCTAACCAGTTACCAATCCATAAGAGAACCTTCCCTCTAATCCCATGGCTGCTTCTAATTATGTGAACTTCCTGAATACTTTGCTGAGGAAAATAAATTCCACATTTCTCATACTAAATATGGTTTCTTGTTTTATTGCTAATGTTACTTTTTAGCAAGAAGACCATCATTATGGCTGAATGTAGATTTTGAATTTTGGCACCAACAGCAATACTGAATTGTTTGCCTGACATATAGTATAATGTTAATCTTAAAGTTTGTTGTTTTACTATTTGGAGCTTTTATAATATGGAAACCATTCAGAGATCAATTATTCTGGCATTTGGAGAAATACATTAAGTAAGTATGATGTGGTAATAAGAAGTTTGGTGATAATAAATTTGCATTAGCAAGTTACAGTAGAATCTCAGAGATACGAATGCCTCTGGAATGGAGGTTGTTCATAACTCTGAAATGTTCGTAACTCTAAACAAAACGTTACGGTTATTCTTTCAAAAGTTTACAACTGAATATTGACTTAATACAGCTTTGGAACTTTACTATGCAGAAAAAAAAATGCTGCTTTTAACTGTCATACATTAAATGAAACAGGCACAGAAACAGTTTCCATACCTTGCCAAATATTTTTTTAAACTTTCCCTTTATTATTTTAGTAGTTTACAATAAGTAAGTTAACACAGTAAGTAAGTAAGCACTGGCCTGCACTCCAAGCCCTGAGCCCCCCACACCCAAACTCCTGCTGCTGGTGCGTGGGGGGCCCACTCTAGACTACCCCAGCAGCAGCCAGTGTGACTGGCCCAGGGGCTGCTCAGGTGGCTCCCGGGGCTGCTGCAGAAGTCACGGAATCCGTGACTTCTGTGACAAACATGGAGCCTTAGTCATGGAATGCCACAGTTCTGAGGGGGGAAAAAAAGAAAAAACATGGAGGAGAATCCAAGGTGTAAATCAAGAATAGAATTGATTTTGATAAATGTTTTCTCAGTAGACAGTGACTCAATGATTGAGTCATTTAACAGTGTACACTGTGAGCAAGGGAACTTGGACTATCCTAGCAGGACCAACACAATTAATACAATTATTTAATTCAAAATTAATTTGTATAACTCATTCAATCACCTTAAATATTTTTGTAAAAAAACCCCACCATGTATCTCTGAAGAGCTTGTAACTCTTGTATCTTTCTTTAAGTATGAGGTGATATCTGAGACTGTATATCTTTCCTCAGTAGTAATCTGGGCTCTTCATTAAAGTTTCACACTGAAGATTTGATATGTTACATTACAAATAAAATTTCCCCTGTTAAAAGGATACTAGAGTTGTGTTTTCTGCATTATAACTATTTTTTCTAAACTTTGAATATTTTGTTTATTTAATACACTATATGTACATGTTTTCTAGTTGTTAGTTTTTAAAGTGTTCTGTATTCAAAAAGTTAAAACATTTGAAATCTTTTTTGAAATCTTCTTTTCATTTTCTGTTCTTTTCCCATTTTGTCTTTCACCCTATTTATTGTTCTCTGATTTTGCTCTATTTCAGAATATTTTTGGTCACTCCTTGCACTTAAGTTCTCTTTTTTCCCCATCTTTCCCATCCCTTCCAATGTTTTGCTTCCTCTTTTGTTGTATTTGTACCCATCCTCTCTCCTTCCCTCCAGAGAACAGCTTTGCGCTTTAAGTGCGGCACTAGCAGCAGAGTGAAACTGACTAAACTCAATTTCACTTTACTGCAGGTGTTGCTCTAGCAGAGTGGTAAAGGACAACAATGCAGGAAACAAAGAGATGTGGAGGCCTGTGTTTGAAAAATGGAGTGATTGGTATTTACCCTGCACTGTTTTGGGTGTTCAGCAATACATGATTTATATGCATTGGTTCATATTTCCTGCATTCCTTGCACAACCTAGAATGTGAGATTTGGGTACAACAAAAATCAGGATTAAAGTTCTTAATTTGCTGTCAAGCGGGAATGAGAACTCTGTTTTTAGGTTTGTTTGCTTTTTTCATTCTAGGAATTTATGATAAAAGAATGTCATCAGGTTTCCAAATAAAACCAAAGACTGCAATACAGAAAAGCAAGACATCTTCATCTCCTTCATCTAGTTCTCCAGATCTTGCGGTTAAGCCACAACCAAGGCCCAGTGATAAACTTAACCCCAAAACTATTGATCCGGTATGTAGAGATGGTATTTTTCTGTACCAGCATAAATGAGTAGGGCCAAACAGAAAGTGAGAGAGTCACAAAAAATATGGCATTCAATTGGGACAACAGAAATCTTTGAGCACAGAAGATCTATGGTTTTCTAGGGATTAGATCTTCTTTTATATTGTCCTATATTTTCCAGAAAGTAAACTTTTTCAAATGTAAGTTGCAGGCCCTTCAAATTGCAGAAACAACAGTGGATCTATTTATGATATGAAGGTTACTAGGTCTTGTTCACCCAGCCTGCAAAACTTAAACCAGGGGTTCTTAGACTTTTGTACTGATGACCACTTTCACACAGCAAGCCTCTGAGTGTGACCCCCCCCTTATACATTAAAAACACTTTTTAATATATTTAACACCATTATAAATGCTGGAGGCAAAGCGGGGTTTAGAGTGGAGGCTGACAGCTTGCGACTCCCCTGGAATAACCTCGTGACCCCCTGAAGGGTCCCAGCCCCCAGTTTGAGAACCCCTGACTTAAACAATTGTACCAAGATATGTTAGAAATTCCACTATTTTTTTTTACTGGGTTATTGATTTTGAACATCACTACCAACATTGATTACTAGCTTGGTGCTGACCTACTGGAAATATCTATCAAATGTGTTTGTCAAAACTTGCTGGACATAATTGTCAAATTTTGACACTGCATTCTTTTCAGTTAATGTTCCTGAAGAAAGAGGTTGCCAATTCTGAACATACAAATAGTTGAAGTAATTGAATTTTAATGCAGCTAAATATAAATGTGTACATCTAGACACAAAGAGCGTTGGCCATACTTTCAGGATAGGGGACTATATCCTGGGAATCAGTGACTCCAAAAAAGATTTGGGGGTTGTGGTGGATAATCAACTGAACATGAGCTCCCAGAGCCGTGGCCAAAGGTCTCATGCAATCCTTGGATGTGTACAAATAGGAATCTCAATTAAGAGTAGAGAGGTTATTTTGGCTTTGTTAGGCACTGATGTGGCCACTGCAGGAATACTTTGTCCATTATTCACTAAGAAGGTTGATTAAATTGGAGAGGGTGCAGGAAGAGCCATAAGAATGATTAAAGGCATAGAAAACATGTTTTACCCTGATAGACTAAAGGAGCTCAATCTGTTCAGCTTAACCAAGAGAAGGTTAAGAGGTGACTTGATCACAGTCTATAAGTACCTACATGGGGAACAAATATTTAATAATGGGTTCTTCAGCCTAGCAGAGAAAGGTATAAAACAGTTCAATAGCGAGAAGTTGAAGCTAGACAAATACAGACTGGAAATAAGTGGACATTAATAGTTAGATTAATTAACCATTGAACAATTTGCCAAGATTCATGTTGAATTCTCCATCACCGCACATTTTAAAATCAAGATTGGATTTTTTTTCTGAAAGATATGCTCTGGGAATTACTTTGGGAAAGTTCTATTTTTCTTGAAGTTAGATTAGAGATTACTTTTTTGTTTTAAAGCAAAAAAGATGTAGTGCCAATATACTTAAGATTCTCGTCTTCACTGAACTGTCAGCATTAGACTGACTATAAGTGGATAAGAAACTATGATTTTTTCTTTTAAAACCTTCAGCCCTGACTGTTCTGAGGTAGCATGAGCTAGAAAAAGTGGGCAAAGCTATTGTGAGTATCCGCATCATTTTCAAGACTTTCTTCTTCCTAACTTGAGAATTGCTGTAGAAAGCATTTTATTCCCTAAAATATGTTTTCTATGCTTGGAGACACTTCATCTGATTTGTGAGTTTAGATTCTTAACTTTTGTTATTAATCATTCAGTCTCCAAGGTCTGCAAGACCTAATGCCTGAGGTAAACAGTATCTAATTCCTTATCCTTTTCACAAGGGTATTTGACAGCAATCTCTCCATTTCTAGGATTGTTTTTTCTATATAGAAATACTTCAGTTTTCACCTATTTTTTTTCCTTTTAAAAAATAAGATACACACACACACAGGCAAAGGGCTACAGGGTTTTCAATACAAGGTAGTTGTCACTCCTTTTAAGAGGAGATGGGTCTAGCCCCCTCTGACTGATCAGCTGATAGCTGGAAGATCATCTAGTACTCATAAAAGTTGCTGGTGACAGTTGTCAGAAGCAGGAGTCCCTGGCAAGAGAATCCAGTTCATGTGAAATCTTCAGGTAATAGTCCTGTAGAGTGTAATCCTGCAAGGAGCAACGTCTGAATGAGATGGGAGCAGAGAAGCTTGCTGTGACTTGGTCATGGCATGGTTAGACCCCTGCAGAAGACTCTGGATTAGTGGAGAGGGAAGCATTCAATATACTGAACTTATGTTGTTTTGAAGAAATAAAGCCAAAACCCTGAGGAAAAAGGGATTGAAATCTTGTGGCTGGAGACTGTTCTGTGGTGCGTGGGCTGATGAGTTAGCTTACCGGTTTACAGTAGGTAACATCGTAGGCTGAACGGAAAGCCAGTGAGAGACTGCAAGCATAATGCTTATGAAAGGTGCCATCTTGTCAGTACTAAAAATTGAAAGCTTCAGTCAACAAGGAACAGTTTTATTAAAATAGAATCTCTTTTTGTGAAAAAATATCATGGTTTCATCAATTCACTGTTATCCAAGCCAACATACAGTGAAATTACACACACAATTATGTTAAAATTTAGTTAACATTGCAAAATCAAGCACTCGAGGTAGAAAATGGGAGACTGCAACCTTAATCAGACTCCTGATGTGTATGCTTTATGATACAATCTTTAATTACATGATTGCATACTATTTTTTTTCCCACAAGACTCCTGGTTCATTCAGTGCACAGAATGGATAGTGTCATTGAGTGAGCAGGTATTTGATATTACTTTTTAGTCTTGTTGTTAAACATGTGACACTAGACTTTCTCTATTCCTCACTATTCAAAACCCTGCTCTGAAGTAAAAATTACTAACTTTCTCAGAGACTTTTCTGTGGTTCTCATCACTATAGTATCTGAGAGATTCACAAACAGTAATTTATTTTCACAGCACCCGGTGAAGTGGTATTATCCCCATTTTGCAGGTGGTGAATTAACCCCCAAATTTCACCCTACTTACAAACTACTTGCTTACAAAATCAGACATAAAATAAAAAAGTGTGACACCACATTATTACTGAAAAATTGCTTTCTTTCTCATTTTTACCATATAATTATAAAATAAATCAATTGGAATGCAAGTATTGTACTTACATTTTGGTGTATAGTATATAGAGGAATATAAACAAGTCATTGTCTGTATGAAATTTTGGTTTGTACTGACTTTGCTAGTGCTTTTTATGTAGCCTGTTGTAAAACCAGGCAAATATCTGGATGAGGTGATGTATCCCCTGGAAGACCTCTGAGTACCCCCAGGGGTACATGCACTCCTGGTCGAGAACTACTGCTCTATATGATCAAAACACAGCCCCCATTAACTTTAGTTGCAGCTGTGAGTGTATAGCATTCCAGGGTCTCAGGTTGTGCACACATAATCAGTGAACACACTGTCAGTGAACATCTAGGAAAAGTTTTGGCTTAAGCGATTGGTTAGCATCATCATATAGGAACTCTCAGGAATAGGCAGGGATAGAATCCAGTTCTCCAATGTAGCATTCAACTGCCTTAACCGTGAGACAATCTTTTATCTTCTTCTAATCTTCTGTATCCTTCACTCCATTTCTGAAAAAAATTAGGCAGGGATCCTACCTCCAGCCTCCTTCATTGCATAACATTGCTTCATCTCCACTGAAGGTCCGTTGTGTGTACTGAATGAGGCAGGGGTCATGTGGGGAAAAATTGTATCACAGCACATATGCACAAGGCGGCCAAATTATGGTTGCACAGCACCCCCTCCTCAATTGCTCAAGTCTTCTTGCCCAGCCGGTCCCAGTCTCCTCCCTGGCTCCTCATCAAGTTCGTCTTCCCACCCTCACTGGCTCCCAGTCTCCTTGTCCCAATATCCTCCTTCTCTTCTCCTCCCCACCCAGTCCAACTCATATCTCCTCTTCAGTCAAGTCAGGCTTTGTGATGTCTGTGTGCCATCTGGGGGAGCTGGAGAGCCCAGGAGCCATGCTCCCTCCCCACTTATGTGAAGAGACCCCTCCATCCCCATGGGGCCATCATTGACTTTAGTGGGACTACTTGCACGAGAAAGTAGAAAAATGGGATGGGAAATGAAAAGTTCATTAAGGATGAGCATATTTACTTATTTTTCTTAACAAAACAGTAGTAACATACTGCTGTGAGGTTACTTTATTATTTAATTAAATGTTAGAATTCTTTTTCCATCCAGTCTCTGCAGTATCTTTACAGTTGTTTTTTGATCACAAGATTGTTTGTCACATTTCTCTCTAAACTGCAATACTGAAGTACATTTATAATGGTTATAACTGAAATATTATGATAGTGAGTAAATAATGCATTTCACTTTTTTGTCCACCCAGTTTGGGGATCGTTCAAAAGCTCCTTCTGCATTTTCTGCCATTTACTCTAAAGGTGGTATACCTTGCAGGTAATGAATTTTTAAAAACAATTTAACTGAATCTATTCAGACAGTAGTCTTAGGTGCAGTTAAATAGATCAAGACTCATTTCTTTATTACTGTTTGTGTAGGATGAAAACTATACACTAATTTGTATGTTCTCTGGCTATTTGATTTTACTGATCTCTGAAGGTGCCTCTGATATTTAATTCTTCTCAAAAGGAAGCAAAAACAACGAGGAGTCCGGTGGCACTTTAAAGACTAAAAGATTTATTTGGGCATAAGCTTTCGTGGGTAAAAAACCTACTTCTGCATCTGACGAATTTGTTCCGATGGAGTTGGGGTGTACTTCACTGGTGAAATTTTTGGCATTTTGCAATCTTGTGGTTTGCGACCCAATCAGCTGAACAGAGATTGGCTGCTGGTTCACAATCTGCATTTGCAGGGAAGTCCATCCTTTTAGAGTTCTCGTCCTTAGGATTGGACTTAAGTCTGCCCAGCCAGGCTCTGTTGTTCACCGCAGTTACAACCAGGGAATTTGGGGCCAGATGGGAGAAAAAGCCCTTAGCTCCCTGCAGTGGGAAAAAGTGTTTCTCCAAGCACTTTGTGGTAGGTGGTATTGAAGCTGATATGCTCCAAAGAACCTTTGCAGGCTCTAGGAGTGCATCATTAATAGGGAGGGCCACTCTCCCAGGGGCAGATGGCTGCAGGATATCCAACAACTTATGGGTATTTTAGGAACTCTGCCTGAATGCCTAGGGAAGCCACCACATGCTGCAAAAGGTCCTGGTATGTCTTTAAGTCTAAAGGCACTGAAGGAGAGGAAGAGCCAGGCACTGCCAAATCGTCCAGGGACAAAGAAGAGGAGCCAAGGCCAGATCTTCCCCCTTGTGGACCCAGATGGGATGATTCCAGAGGCTCCCTGGGGAAGGGGAAGGGGAAGGCTCTCACTGGTGCCTGAATCTGTGGTGGATTGGCAGTTCCCGCCACCATTCTGCCCGGCGTTCTCACCTTAGAACGAGATGAGGAGTGCGACTCTCGCGACTGAGGAGCATCCCACGGATTCCATGGAGGCCACTGGGCAAAAGGATAAGGCATTAGTGGCCAACAGGTGCAGGGCCAACCTTGAGACAAGTGCCTATCCTGGTACTCATGGTGCTCCATGAACAGCCCCCCGTGAGCCAGGCAATGGAGAGCGGGAGAAAAAAGATCCCGACCTTGATGCTGAGGAGTCTCAGGTTTCTCGGGATAAAGGTGGAACAAGCCCTGAGGGGGTGAGCAACTCATCCATTGCCCAAAACAAGGGAGAGACTGGTGCCGACAGTGGGAACAATACCACAGGCACTGAGTTTGCCTCTGTTGTGCCCAGTGCCAGGAGCAATGTTGAACCTGAAGTCCGCGTTGGTACTGAAGTAGCTGATGGTCCTGAAGTGGAAGGTGGTGAAACCACCACGGTAAAATGGGTGGTACAGGATGCACTGATGCCGAGGAGGTCCCTTGCCCTGAGCTCAGCACCGACTCCACTTCCACTGACTGTGGAAGGGAAACATTGAGGTGTGGTGCCAACACAAAGGTTAGAATCATAGAATATCAGGGTTGGAAGGGACCTCAGGAGGTCATCTAGTCCAACCCCCTGCTCAAAGCAGGAACAAATCCCCAATTAAATCATCCCAGCCAGGGCTTTGTCAAGCCTGACCTTAAAAACCTCTAAGGAAGGAGATTCTACCACCTCCCTAGGTAACGCATTCCAGTGTTTCACCACCCTCATAGTGAAAAAGTTTTTCCTAATATCCAACCTAAACCTCCCCCACTGCAACTTGTGACCATTACTCCTTGTTCTGTCATCTGCTACCACTGAGAACAGTCTAGATCCATCCTCTTTGGAACCCCCTTTCAGGTAGTTGAAAGCAGCTATCAAATCCCCCCCCCCTCGTTCTTCTCTTCCGCAGACTAAACAATCCCAGTTCCCTCAGCCTCTCCTCATAAGTCATGTGTTCCAGTCCCCTAATCATTTTTATTGCTCTCCGTTGGACGTTTTCCAATTTTTCCACATCCTTCTTGTAGTGTGGGGCCCAAAACTAGACACAGTACTCCAGATGAGGCCTCAGCAATGTCGAATAGAGGGGAACGATCACGTCCCTCGATCTGCTGGCAATGCCCCTATCTATACATCCCAAAATGCCATTGGCCTTCTTGGCAACAAGGGCACACTGTTGACTCATATCCAGCTTCTTGTCCACTGTAACCCCTAGGTCCTTTTCTGCAGAACTGCTGCCGAGCCATTCGGTCCCTAGTCTGTAGCGGTGCATGGGATTCTTCCGTCCTAAGTGCCGGACTCTGCACTTGTCCTTGTTGAACCTCATCAGATTTCTTTTGGCCCAATCCTCTAATTTGTCTAGGTCTATCCCTACCCTCCAGCGTATCTACCTCTTCTCCCAGTTTAGTGTCATCTGCAAACTTGCTGAGGGTGCAATCCACACCATCCTCCGGATCATTAATGAAGATATTGAACAAAACCGGCCCGAGGACCGACCCTTGGAGCACTCCACTTGATACCGGCTGCCAGCTAGACATGGAGCCATTGATCACTGCCCGTTGAGCCTGACAATCTACCCAACTTTCTATCCACCTTATAGTCCATTCATCCAGCCCATACTTCTTCAACTTGCTGGCAAGAATACTTTGGGAGACTGTGTCAAAAGCTTTGCTAAAGTCAAGGAACAACATGTCCACCGCTTTCCCTTCATCCACAGAGCCAGTTATCTCGTCATAGAAGGCAATTAGATTAGTCAGGCATGACTTGCCCTTGGTGAATCCATGCTGACTGTTCCTGATCACTTTCCTCTCCTCTTCCTTGAGGACCTGCTTCATGATTTTTCCAGGGACTGAGGTGAGGCTGACTGGCCTGTAGTTCCCAGGATCCTCCTCCTTCCCTTTTTTAAAGATGGGCACTACATTAGCCTTTTTCCAGTTGTCTGGGACCTCCCGCAGTCGCCATGAGTTTTCAGAGATGATGGCCAATGGCTCTGCAATCACATCCGTCAACTCCTTTAGCACTCTCGGATGCAGCGCATCTGGCCCCATGGACTTGTGCTCATCCAGCTTTTCTAAATAGTCCTGAATCACTTCTTTCTCCACAGATGGCTGGTCGCCTCCTTCCCATGCTGTGCTGCCCAGTGCAGTAGTCTGGGAGCTGACCTTGTTCGTGAAGACACAGGCAAAAAAAGCATTGAGTATGTTAGCTTTTTCCACATGCTCTGTCACTAGGTTGCCTCCCTCATTCAGTAAGGGGCCCACACTTTCCTTGACTTTCTTCTTGTTGCTAACATACCTGAAGAAACCCTTCTTGTTACTCTTAACATCTCTTGCTAGCTGCAACTCCAGGTGTGATTTGGCCTTCCCGGTTTCACTTCTGCATGCCCGAGCAATATCTTTATACTCATCCCTGGTCATTTGTCCAATCTTCCACTTCTTGTAAGCTTCTTTTTTGTATTTAAGATCAGCAAGGATTTCACTGTTAAGCCAAGCTGGTCGCCTGCCATATTTACTATTCTTTCTACCCATTGGGATGGTTTGTCCCTGTAATCTCAATGGGGAGTCTTTAAAATACAGCCAGCTCTCCTGGACTCCTTTCCCCCTCATGTTATTCTCCCAGGTTCACAAGGTTCAGCAGTCTGCCCAGCCAATGGGGCTATAAATGATGTAGCCCTGGTAAAGTCTTGGACCAAGGGAGAGGTCGGGAAGGAAAGGCAGAGGTGGTCCTTTGCTGCCTGATATGCTGTCAATGTGGAAACAGTCCGTGCTGGCATTGTCCTCATTGGTGCCGGACTCAACAGATACGCTGGGGCCAGAACTGGTGTTGACAGTACAGCGTCTCTAACCTTCCTGTGCAGTCCCGGGAAGTGGTTAGAGGCACCTGTGCCATCCTGCATGCCAGTGCAAGCTCTTTCTGGAGGAAGCAGAAGAATCTCCACGAGACTCTTATGTGATCTTTTCCTCTGTGCACTCAATGTGGAATGGCTCCTCCATCGTTTTAGAGAGGCCCTGACTCCAGAGCACAAAACGACAGCACTCTGAGAATCTAAGGATGACCTCTGATCCAGCATGGGCCTCAGTGCTGGAACAGGCCACATGGCCTGTTCGAGCAGATGTTGCTTTGGGAAAAGGTCTCTAGCCACCTGAGTCCATTTTGTGAATGATTTACAAATTGAACACCACTCCTTGACATGGGCGTTGCCCAAGCACAGCAAGCACTGGGTGTGGGGATCATTCTTGGGGAGGCCATCCCAAGGAAAATAATTAGCTAAATTAACTAACATTAAATTTAACTAATACTAAGGTTACTAACTAACTATATAGAACTAGAAAAAAGTCACAGAGAGAGAGATTGTGAGGTTAAGAACCACACAGAGCTCCAACTCTAGCCACGGAAGTAACAAGGAACTGAGGAGGGTCAAGGTGGTGCTGTCTCATATAGCCAGAGGAGGGGCTTTGAGCAAGAGGCGTGAACGCCGCCTTCTGCTGGTATTGCTAGGCAAAATTCTCCAGCTCTGGTGTCCTGAGTGCATGCACATCTAAGTGGAATACATGATTGTATCTACTTAAAGAAGAACCAATTAGATCTAGCATAAATACAGATAGACTTAGTTTAAAAAAAAAAGTTTTGATCTTGTAAATATCCATATAAACAGAAAACTTTTGTTTTGATAAATATCAGTACATTAAGTATCAGGGGGTAGCCATGTTAGTCTGAATCTACAAAAACTATGAGGAGTCCAGTGGCACCTTAAAGACTAACCGATTTATTTTGGCATAAGCTTTCAGGGGTAAAACTCCCCCACTTCTTCAGATTCATGGAGTGAAAATTACAGATACAGGCATAAATATACTGGCACATGAAGAGACGGGTACCTCCACTTGTAAGGCAACTAACTCCCTTCTCTTCATGTGCCAGTATATTTATGCCTGTTTCTGTAATTTTCACTCCATGCATCTGAAGAAGTGGGGTTTTTATCCATGAAAGCTTATGCCCAAATAAATCTGTTAGTCTTTAAGGTGCCACCAGACTCCTCGTTGTTTTTATCAGTACATTAAGTTTGCAGGAAAAACAGTTGGTGCTGATATATATATGGGAAATACAATGTAATAATTATTATTTACAGCTATTTTATTTTTAGCCTCTATTTACAGGTTCACAAAAAGAAAAGGAGTACTTGTGGCACCTTAGAGACTAACCAATTTATTTGAGCATGAGCTTTTGTGAGCTACAGCTCACTTCATCAGATGAAAGCTCATGCTCAAATAAATTGGTTAGTCTCTAAGGTGCCACAAGTACTCCTTTTCTTTTTGCGAATACAGACTAACACGGCTGTTCCTCTGAAACCTATTTACAGGTTGTTGAAGAATTTAGATGTTGCCTTTTTCAGGAGTTGTAATGGTGTGTCAAAACGCTATAGCGTTCTGCCCAAATAGGGCTGTGCATTTCACTGGGAAGGCAGTGCATATTAGATGGGTATATATACCTTTATAGTGATTTTTTCAAAACATTTGTGGATCTTTTGGTATGACTAGCATGTTAAAGAAATTTACTGTTATATGCTGTTTGTTTCTCTGTACCATTTACTAACTTGTGTTCTGCATGATAGGTTGGTTCATGGCTCAGTAAAACACAAATTACAGTGGGAATGTCTTCCTGAAACTCTTCCATTTGATCCTCTTCTTATTACTTTAGCTGAGGTAAACTTGCTTTTCTTGAATAATTATAGAATAATACAAAGCTTTTTTGCCATGCAAAGGTCAAAAAATGAAATTGGCATGCATTATTCAAATAGGTGGGTAATTGAATGTTGATAACTACAATAACTAAAACAGTTGTTTACTTATTACTTCATATGTCAAGTGCCAACTCACGCCGATATCTAGAAACTGTCAAGATTGGTGGTTTTCTGGAGACCCAAATTCAAATCTTACACAGATTACAAGAATAAATAATATTAAGATGTTGAGCATTTAAAGGCAAATCCAGTTCCCAGTGTCCAGACCAGCTGGATAGTGGGAACCTTCACGGGAAGAAAGATGGGGAGGAACAGAGGACCTGCATAGAAGCAGATACTTTGTAGTCCTCCAAACACCTCCAAGGAACTTGAACACTTATTTTACCCCTCTTAGTTTTATTCCCAATTATTATACCTCATCTTTACCTCAGCGTGAATCCAAAAAGTTACATTCCTTAGGGGTTGTAGCTAGTAGATCTTTCTGGATTACTGGATGAGCTGCGTCTGGTGGACATTCACTAGTCTCTTTTATCTGGATCCAATCATTGGATCCCAGGTGCTCGTAGGCAGGCTGAGACTGGAGCGAGTCTGGGTGTTGTCTATGCGCACTCTACGGTCCTTTTGCCTAGGCCCTGAATCTTCCAAGCCTCCCCCATAGCTTTTTCATGTTCCTAGAGTTGTACTGAAGTTGTGGATCCATTGGATTACTGTTCCCCTCTTCAGCAAATAGAGGACAGTGAAAGCAAGGGGCACACAAACTTTGCAACAGAATTGCTAAATCAGTTGTACTTTACTCACAAACAAAGCACATGAGAGATACCTCTATAGAAAATAAAAACTTTTATGCAAAACTCTCCTTCCAGTGCCCCCACCACTCCAGGAGTCCTTTGGTCAGTCCTTTCAGGGTCCCATTGTTGTCTTCTCCTACTCCCTCCTTCCCTGCCCGCAACAAAAGTCAGTGAGAGCCTTCCCATTATAAGGTTGCAGTCCCCCCTTTCAAGTGACTTTCCTCAGTGGCTTTGAGTTCCTCATCAGGTGATCTGATGGTTGGTTACAGACTCACCTAGGAGAACTAGTTACACTGGTTAGCAGCTAGCTTATTGTCTTAGGATGTTTCCATTTGAATGGGAGACCATCCAGATTAATGACTCTTGATTTCTGTGCTTTATTAGCCCTTTACTAACACTTCTGGAATCCCCACTCCGAGATGGAGTTTTGATATAGCTATGTACGGACATACACTAATCCATCACACCTTCCCCAGCGAAGGCCTAAGGGATAGGTTTTAGTGGCATCGGCAGAAGCCTTTCTCTCTATCCTTGGGCTTTGGATCATCTTGTCCTTCTCTTCATCTTCCTCCCAGCTCTCTTCTTTTGCATACTCTCTGCTACACTAACTAGGAAAGGCAGAGGGGAAAGAAGATGAAGCACCTAATGGCTGCTGATTAGCAATTGCAACCAAAAATGCTAGTGGCTAGAGGGAAAACTTCAAGTAAAACCACCTTTCCAATCCAGTATGAAAGGAGAAGTGAAGTGGAACAGCTGTTCATTCTTTCTTCCTTTCTACCCTTTGCAAACATCACATGAATAGGATTCAGTCAGAGGGTAAATCAGGAACAGAAAGGACTGTTACAGTACAGCGTTTTTCTTGCCTATAGAGGGCTGTAGCTTTCCTTCCCATCAATCTAAGAACAAAAAATAAGCATGTTAGCTAAATGTTTCTGTGGAAAAGAACAGTAGTTAATAATAGTGGTGTTCAATTGTCATTATGTTTCAGAGGCAACTTCCCCTTGAATCCATTTGTCTTTGTTTTATCTGTATACAAACTCGGGAAGACAGGGATTTACTAGTTCTTGTTTGGAAGATTTTCTTCACAATTATAAGGGCTAGAAATCTTAAATTGTGTACAATCTTATTCTATCGTGGGAGTTAAATTAATACATAAACTCCCAGCATATAGCCACATCTGGCCTATTTTGAGTATGATTTAGAGATTAGAGTCGTATTTTATGCATTGTACATCAAATGGTGACAATGCTGTTCTGTAATCCGTTTAAACTCTCCTTTTGACCTTATATAGGCCCAATAAATACTTGTCCTAATAATGCTTTCTGAAGAACTGGAAAATTTCAGTATAGCTCTTTATGGAGGTTGTGATAATGTATTGCTCTATTTGAATAGTTTTGTGTCTTAATATTATTTTAAATTGTTCTTGGCGACATTTCTCCCAGGGAATGAGAACTCTGTGATGGATTTCCAGCAATATTTTAAGAGAATTAATATTTTGAAAGCGAGTAAGCTTTTAATAAACCCACATAGATATTGTAAAATGTCATTGTTAAAAGATAGTACATCCCTAGTGTGAAACAGACTTTCAACTGAGGGGTAATATTCAGCCAAAACAGTTATTTTTCAGTTATCTTATTACAATTAGTCACTGTCAGTTTCTATAGATACCTTTAGCGGCAATATATTTGTTTTTGAGCCCTCAAAGATCTCAAATTGGAGTGAATTACAGCTCCCAAGAAGCTAATCTAACCAAGTTACATTCCACAGTGATAAACATAGTATAAACAAAGATAATATTTGAAGATGGTCAATCAGTTTGAGCAGTTGAACATTTTTTAAAAATAATCTTCCTCTGTAATTTGGGTTATGGGAGAGAGTAATGGAAAGTTGCTGAACAAACAAGAACCAAAAAGATTTGTGGATTTTGCTGTTCATAATAATACTTTATTTTATTGGGGAGTGACCACTATAATTAAAGTTGCACAGGGATTTCAATTCAAATCCTGTTTTCAGTCCCTTTGCAACCTTTCAGCACTTTCATTCTTAAGGCCTGAAATATTTCAGACTAGGGCTCTGTCCAGTGGTAAATTTTCTAAAATACTGAGCAAAAACATCCTAAAATTTCAGATGTTTACATCTGAAACCATGAAATTGACTATTTAAAAAATCCTATGACAGTGAAATTGAGCAAAATGGACCGTGAATTTGGTAGGACTCTAGAAGTGGTGGGTGAAATTCTGTGGCCTGTGTTGTGCAGGAGGTCAGACTAGATGATCATAATGGTCCCTTCTGACCTAAATATCTATGAATATAGCATTGTGGTGTGAAGAGGAAGGCCTTTGGCATATTTGCCAAAATAGCTCATCCAGAGCTGAATTTGGGTCTCAGAGCTCCAGCTCCTGTAGAGAATCCTTTGATTCTTTTGTGGTGTCAGAGATTCTCCTGTCAGTCACCAGTTTCCTGTGTGTAAATAAATTTAGGTCCATCCCAACTATGTAAAGAGAACCTTCTCTTCAGTGAGTTAATCTTACTCACTGGAAGTGGGGCCTTGTCAATCAAAATGAATTACAGTCAGTAAGCAGCCAGGAAACCTAGTCGAAAATATGCTCAAATTTATCCTTACCTTCTGCTCTTTGTACTGGTCACTATAAGTTACTTTGTGTCCAGTCTTATTTCCTGTTTTCCCAACATTTGGCAGGGAGTTTGCCTGAAAAGACATTCCAAGAATCTCTACAAACTTAAATTTAGGGCATCTCTACATTTGAAATTCTACAGCAGCACAGCTCCAGCGCTTCAGTGTAGACACTATCTACGCCGAGAGGAGGGGTTCTCCCATCAGTGTAGGTAATCCACCTCCCAAAGAGGCAGTAGCTAGGTCGACAGAAGAATCAGGTCAGTTTAACTACACCGTTCAGTGGTGTGGATTTTTCACACCCTTGAGTGATGAAGGTGGATAGACCTAATTTTTTAGTGTAGATCAGGTCTTAGAGTCCTGTATCAGACGTGCTAGGCTGAACCTGAGCTATGTTTAGATGCTTTTGAAAGAAAAAATAATCTCTTAATATTTGAAGTGGCTGAGGGACCTTCTCTCACAGAACAAATCAAAGATTTCTGCCATATAGATTGTGAGTTCCTGTGATTCAGGACATCACAAGCCTGCACCACTTTAAAGTGTCAGCCTTGTACTGCATTCTGTTTTTCATTAAGAGTAGGGGAAATCCCTTAGAAATGTCATCTATTTTCTGTTCATGGGGCTGTGGAGAAATTACTTTGGGAAGATGGAATGAAGATAAAGAAGTACATCTGTTGATGAAAGTGACCATATTAAAAGGGTAAAAGTATTCTTTCACGTATCAAGGAAAAAACCTGAATATTTAGTGAGCAGAGGTATACTCAATGAATCCACATGGTGGAGTAAGTGTGTTTTTATGTTTTTGAATGGCTGCTGCAATAAAACATAAGCAATATATTGCTACTAGAGGGAACTTTTGGATGTTTTAATGTAGTGTTGTGTTAAAAGTTACATATTAAGAAAAGATATTTTCCATATATATATATATAACAGGGACTAAGAGAGACAAAACACCCATATACATTTGTATCAAAGGAGGGCTTTAAGGAATTACTCTTGGTTGAAGATGCTACTGAAAAAGCAATTCCCTTGTTGCCTCGACTCGTTCCAGTGTTAAAGGCTACTCTGGTATGTTTCTCTTATTTTTCATTTATTATAGTCTTGGATTCTTTTCTTACAAAGAAAAAAAGTCACAGTTTGGTACAAGTGTTGCAGATGGGAAACTGTCTGAGTCCTAGGATGACAGAAGCAACCCATGAGAAATGGGGCAGCTCTCGAATGACTCTTCAGGCTCTGAGAGAATGTCTACTCTCAGTGTAAGCCTGTACTTGAGCCTGGGCTCAAGGCTGACCACTCCTTGCATCTACACTGCAATTGTGTTAGCCAAGGGCTGGGACCCAGGAGGGTCCAAGCTCAAGTCAAGCAGGGTCTGAGCCCTATTACTTTGCAGTGTAGTCGCTACCCCACTTGACTCAGGTCCTGGGAGTCATTTGGAAGTATCCCACAATTCCATGGGACATCTTCCTTAGTCCTCTCTATCCCAAGAATCTGCACTCTATTGAAAACAGAAGTCCCTTCCCTCCCTCCCCGTTGGCAAACGGAGGCAGCTCAGGTCAGCGTTAACTTATTCTGTTCTGAGCACCAATCTGCAAGCACATTATCAGAGAGCCTCCTGGGTGTGCAAAGGAGAGCGAGTCCATCAAGACTTTTGCAAAGTGGGGTGCTTCCTGGTAATGTGCAGGGTGGGCAGTAAAGTTTTCCTACAGTGCATCATGTTCCTAAGGCTAGAGTGACCACATTTTGGGAGGGGGAGTGCTCTAGGGACTCTGAGATATAATTACTTTGATATGGCTCTGCACACTGCAGTGTGAACACCAGAGCACTAGGTTCGAGCACAGGTCAGAAAATTCTTAACCTGGGGTTAAAATATAATGTAGACACTCAAGCCTAAGGTTCCCTAACACAGGTCAGCTAACTGGATTCCCATTAACCTTGGTCTTACGTTGCAGTGTAGACATACTCAGAGTGTGGGAAATAGGCACCAGTAGAACTTCAACATCATTGTGCTTTATGTATAATATGCATATAATCAAAGGTAAAGGGACATATGAGGTAAAATGCACAGACCCACAGCAAATAGATAAGACTGTTTTATGGAAGGATTGAAATAAAATTAAAGGGGTTCAAAGGATGAAATGGAATAGATCAATGGGGAAAGACGAATAACATTAGAAAATGGGACTAAGCATACTTTTTAAAAATGTGTATTACAGTAATTCATTTGAAGGAATTGAAAGGTTATGGCAAGGCAGAAGTCTTAGGTTGGAATGGACCTGTATGGGGACTCTTAATACAATGGCCAGATCTGAAAAGATGCTTAGGTACCTAAATTCCAGATTTAGGTTCCTTTGCAATCCCTAAAACCCCCCACTTGGCTGCCATCCAGCCCTGTAGGAACCTAAACTCAGTGCTGAATTTCCACTAAAAGTTCCTTAGGCATGTAAGTATCTGCCTCTGAGCAAGCACACTGCTGCCTCACTCTAGGCATCTGGATTCCTCTCTCCCACCTAAGCCTTATTGTTATCCATGAGCCAGGGGAAGATAGGCGGAGGAATGCCTGTTTTGTCTGTGGGGCCTGATCTGGTAGGCATGCTCAGAGGTTCAGCATTGCAGCACCTAGCTCTCTTTATGGATCTGTGTCCAGGTCTCTTTTCAGGATTATATTTCTGGTTTTCCCACTGACTTGCTGTGTGAATTCAGCCAAGTTAAATTATTTGTTAAATTACTTATTATTTTGCTGTGCCTCCGTTTGTTCACCTATAAAAGGGTAGTAATTGTTATTTACCCCATGGGTTTTACGGGGATGGATTAATACTCGAGAATTCTTTGAGATCCTCACGTTATGGGCACTACAGATGAGTCAAGTAATATTTATAGCCTTTATCAGTTCCCTGGGCCTATTCTGGTAGTTCTAGTTATTCAAACTTTTTCAAATTTTTATGCTTTTTGTCTGAACTTTTTCCCAGTTATCTTCTTACAATGTAATGCTGAAAACTAAATGCATTTCTCTAATTGAGGCCTAAGAAGTACTTCATATACATCCATTACTACTACAATCCAGTACAACAAATAGTGGATCCTTACACAGGACAGTCATTAGTGTTCTGTAACACATTTTGTTAATGATCCACAATAGATCCTGGCAGGGACCTCATTCAATATCTTCTTCCAACCTAACACTACCATTAATAGTTACTCTGGGTTTACCAATTTAGTAGCTAAAATTACTTACTATACTATAATTGCAGCCAATCCACGTTTCTTGAATGCTTTTTAAAAATGTTATAGGGTAATGTAGTAAACACCTGACTAAAACTGAGATTCTGTAGATGGACTTGTCACAGTTTGAGTAACTGCACCTGTGTTCACTTCATGTTTCACTTCAGGAGTGCCCAGTCAGGTCTCAGGTGTGCAGCCATCACCAGTCTCTGCGGGGGGACCCTTGTCCCACTCCCATCTGACATGGTGTTTTAAGCCTGCACATAGCCCTGCCTTATACTGGGATATCCCCAGCAAGCTAGTCTGCCTAATGGCCAGCACCGGTAAAATTAATTTCTCTCTCCAAGGGCTATGAACAATGTATTGCCAGCAGTGACAAGTTACCACACAGCTCTTTCTAAGCAAGCACATTTATTTTTAAGGTGAAAGCATTGCAGAGAAGACATAATGAAAACAACAAACTGATTTAAACACAAACTAGACATACCAGGAGTCACCCATCAGTCTTATGGGGCCCTAATAGGCCAGAGTATTTTGTATGGTTCGGGCCCCTTTTTAATTTGTGAAGGAGCTGTGGTAACCCTCCCCCAGGAAGTAGAACATAATCACATTCCCTGTCCCACAGGTTACATAAATGTAATAAAATATGTTCCCCCAAAGATACTGCATGCTGTTACAATAACAGTCACATTACTATCGTTTCTTTAACTACCTAGCTTGCTCTCCATCAAATAAATAAATGATTAGTTGTCACACTACAGAATAAATGAAAGTCTGTTTCATTCTGAAAAACTTCTGAAACTTGCCATCAGCATCCAGTATTGGATGCTGTGTTGGGTGTGTTTCCCTTTTCCCCCCTGAAAATACATTGGCATTTAAATGACACATGCTTGATATTAACATATTCAATAATGCTGTACTTGTGTTTCTAAACCTCTTCAAACATTAGTTTCAGTGCTTTGAAAAGGTAAAGCACTGTGTAAGTACTAATTATTCTACTCAAGAGATTGCTGTTTTAGTGAGCTTGCACATTTGATCGAGAATTACTGTTTGACAGCAGTTTATTAATTTTCCCTCCTCCCTTACAAGGCCCATTCAAACAGTGAAGTATTTGAAAGAGGATTGAATGCTTTGGTACAGCTGAGTGCCATTGTTGGTCCTGCTCTTAATGATCAGCTGAAACATCTACTCACAAGCGTAAGTACAAAAAATTGACACAGTAACTATGCCTCTTCATTTTTTATGTTACTTTTGTTTAGAGACTTCCTGTCATTTCACACAAAGATGATGGACCTTTCAGCTGTTCCATGAAAGGCATTTCTTGATAAGCTTTAGCAGAGAGCCATAGTCTTATTATAATATATGGTGAATTATAGAGCTCTAACATTCAGTATATGCTACTAGACCAAAAGAACAATTTGTACAATAAACCCCCCTAAAGACTGAGACATATTAGTTACTGTGTTTTGAAGGGACATTGTTTATTATAAAATTACCTGTGAATTTTAAATATTAATATTTAGTAACAAAACCCATTAAAGTTGCTGTGATGGGGAGGACTAGGTCCTGAGGCCCCCTGCTGGAGGTCTTATGGCCCTGCCACACCCCACCTCATAAAAGGGCAGTAGAGAGGTCCTCCAAGCTGCCTAGAGTGGCTTTGTGGGAAGCAGCCAATCAGGGCCCAGCAGGCTAATAGAAGAAGAGCTGCAGGGCCAGACTGAGGAGAGTGGATGGTGCTCCAGGCTGGCTGCTGGGACTCCAGGAGGACAAGACCCTGAGATTAGGGTGAAGAATGTGCGGGAGCACGGGGAAGTGGCCCAAGGAATTATAGCAGCAATGCAGTTTATTTAAAGGGACATTGCAGATGGCTGCTATCTATAGGGTCTCTGGGCTGGCACCCAGAGTAGAGGGCGGGCCCGGATCCTCACCAGCAGCTACTGGGAAAGTGGCCTGGACTTTGAGGCACCCCAGAAGTGGGATTGAACTGTAGTGGCCCAGCTGAAGAGCTGGAGCCAGAAAGGCCCTGAGAGGATGAAGACATTGCCTCCAGGGAAAGAGCTCTGGAGCACTGCTCTATTGCGGAACAGGGACAAACAGAGAGAGACATTACGGAGGGCACTGAGAGAGTACCCCAAAAGGGGGTTGCGTTGCTTTTATCTCACAGACATACTGTGTATGACTTGGCTGGAGGGCTGAGTCAGTGAAGACCCACCACAAACGGGGGGAGAGAGAGTGCAGGCACACGCAGTTGGCCAGGGGGCACTTGCGAGAGGTGAGTTCAACCACTTTACACTGGTACCAGAAGTAGGATTGTTCGGACCAGCCCCTGCAAACAAGGGGACCATGGAAGAGCTGATAAGAGCTGTAGGCCAGCAGTAGCAAACTGTGGCAGCTTCAAAGCCTCAGCAAGCCACCCAGCAACAGCACGGCAAAACCCGGGAGGGGCTTCAACAGCAGCAACTCCAGGATCACCAGTCTTAGGCTTGGCAGGGAGCCTGGCAGCTAAAACAGCGTCTACCCAGGCCCGGCCGCTGCAGGTGCCACAGAGGAAAGAGTCAGAAGACCCCCCCCGTGGAGCTTTAGGTAGTATGGGCAAGGGGTCAGGTGAGATGGATTCAGCTTGATACAAGCCATGGTTGTAAGTCCAGCCCGGTTGCCATGAGGGCTGCTGGGACCAGTGAAGGCCAGGTGGATAAAGACACTCAGCCACGAATGGCTGAGGCCCAGGCTATAGTTAAGGCAGAACAGAGGACTGTCGGGACTCAGTTTAGGGCTTGGAAGGCTACCCACGGATAGTTTTTTTTCCATTGTGGGGAAATGGGCCACATAAGAAGGTGTTGCCCCCCCTAACTCAGGAAGTCAGTACTGGTACTATCATAGTCCCAGGACTCCCTGTAATTGGCAAACCTGGTAGACAAGGAAGGACTGAAGCCCATGTGATAGAAATGGGAAAGCAGTTGTGTGTCTTGAACAACCCTTTTTCTGAAGGGAAGACCCAGCCTGCAGTGTCTGTCCTGAGGGAAGAGAACATGGGGAATGTACCTAATGTGTTGCAGGAACTGAAGCAAGGCCAAGGCCCTGAAATGACTTCTGTGGAGAAGAGCCCAAAAAGAAGCTCTGAGGGACAGCAGGGTTCCTTGACAGGAGGTGTTGGAGACCGAGGGAAACTTGTTTCACAGGGCCTGGGAGCTCAGAGAATGACGGATAGTCAGGACTCTTGGTTGGGCACCAGGCACCCCTGCAACCTGCAGAACCAGATGAATGCTCTCTGGTATGAACTAAATAACTGGCTAAAGGCTTATGAGACCCAGGTCCAGGGAATAGAACAGACCCGTTTTCAAATGGTGAAAGAGCTGGCCAAGGAGCTGGGGACAGACCAAGCAGGAGACAGCTGATCTTGAGAAGGTGAAGCTGGCGCTGGCGGCCAAATGTAAAGAGGTATTCAAGGCAAGCAAAACGTGTCTGCCTAGTGAGTGAGACACTGGCTACACAAAAGATGATAGGCAGGTGAAGGAGGTGAGCTGAACCGAAACCTGGAGTAGGAAGTCTCCAGCCTAAAAGATAGAAGGAGTTGGAGCATCTGCCTATTATAGAGACCAGTGGGCCCATACAAAAATAGAGATACAGAAGAGAGAAACCCTCTCCTTGAGCAGAATTCTGAAAGAAAGCCAACAACAGAAGCTGACCTGAGAGAGGACCCAGCAAGCCTTAGAGGAGCAGCTTACCATACTGGGAAAAGAGCCAGAGACTAAGACCAGAGATTACCCCAAGGCTTGTGTGGATACCAGTGGGTTGGCTGATGGGCTAGGCACCCAGAAAGGCCTCCTGAAAGGAGTGAGTAGCAGTCTAATAAAGAAGTGGGTGTCCTGTGCCATAAACAGTAAGTTCCCATGTACAACAGAGGCTGCAATAATAGCGTAGCCCCTCAGCTACACAGCAGACCTCTACTGTAAAGGACTGGGATAAGCTAGAAGAGAAGGCTGCTACGGCTGATCGGAACCAGGCTGAAATCCTGGAACTACGGATATAGGTAGCTTAATACCAGCAGGAGCTGGAAGAGATCTGCTCTTCATGGGAAAGGTTTGTAGGGTAAGCACTAAAATAGGAGCAAGAACTGACCCATCTCAAAGTTGAAAAGGAGACAGCGGACCAGCAGTGCTTACTACTGCAAAAGGAGCTGACCAAGCTCCAAAACCTGATCAAGTTCCAGCCAGGGTCAAAGTCCAACTTGGCTAAGGAGAAAGCTGGGGTTTTGTGGACTGAAGCCAGTACAGAAGGAAGATGGCTTGGATAGGGACATACAGCCACCTGATGAAACAGATTGCTGCCTGACCATGCGTCTAAAAATCCAGGATCATGATATAGTGGCAAAGCAGGGCAACAACTGGACCTCTGCTAAAAAGAAGAGCTGCACTTGGAGGAAAAAGGAAGCTAAAAATGGTGCTAACCTGCTGAATGTTATCCACACGATAGTGTGGGTATAGCAAGAACAAAAGTGAGTGTTGCTAAGCCAGGTATTGAAAGCAGTGGGCAAAACAGTACAGTCCCTGGTCTTTGGAAGTCCTGGGAGCGATCTGAGCTTGGATAGAGAGATCTTTTAACTCTGAAGGGTGTACGTGCAGATGCATTCAGAAGGACTCCTCTCCAGATCAGGAGGCCACAGTAAGAGAGTTTATTTCTGGGGAAATCCTGGCTTTGTTAACCAGCCTAGAGACAGTAAAAGGCTTTTACCATCTGAATGCCCCCTATGTGGTAAATCATGACATGTCACTGACATGGAGGGTTACGTGCACTGTATGGGCTACCTACAAAAAGGGGGACCTCGGGCTATGGTCACTTCATATTTCTCTGAGGGACATAAGGGTATTGCCAAGGACCTAGTGGACTTCCTAATGTCAGCCAAACAAGAAGTCCGTCCCCCCCCACAGCTGAGAAACATGGCTAAAGGGTACCTTTGGTTGAGCCTGCCTTTTGAGATTGGTTTGCTCTGAATAGAAGGAGCTCCCAGAGAGCCTGAACAATGAAAACCTCTCCAGACAAAGAGTTCTGAGAGGAACCCTAACTAGGGCAATGAGATATTAAAAGCTCTCCAGGTAGAGAGGCCTGGGAGAGAAACCCTGAGAACCAAGGCAGAAACTACCATGAATAGCTCTCCAGGTAGAAAGGCCTGAGAGGGAACTCTGCTAAAAAGGAGATAAGCCCTGCTAAAAGGATGATAAAAGCTCTCCAGTTAGAAATGCCTGGGATAGAAGTACTCTGAGGCAGCAGTGCAAAATTAATAGGTGTGTCACAGAGCTACTTAAGGAAGGAGCCTGAATTGGAAAATCTCTCCAGGTGAGAGAGGCCTGGGAGAGAAGTTCTTGAGCAATCAGGGCAGAAAGTGAATAACTCTCTGAGGTAGAAGACACGCATCCATTGAAGTGAGAAACTGCCAAATCTTTCCAGGCAGAGAGGCCTGGCAGGAAAACCCTGAGAAATCAGGGCAAGGACTACTAAAGCTTCCTGTGTAAGAGACCAGCGAGGGAGAGTTCTAACAAACAGGGGCACAGGCAAAGGAACTCTCTAGACTATTCCCAACAACTGTTTCATATTCCTCCTGGTACTCTTGTTTTGCATCAAAAATAGTTGCAAACAAATATAAAAGCTATCTGTCTATGGATTTTATACTGCCACCCATCATTGCAAAAACTGGGCATTTCTGCAAAGCTATGTTTTTTGGTTCAGAAAACTTTGTCTTCCCCTTTTGCTTTTGACCATGTGTCTTACTTTGGCATTACCTACTATGCGTAAAGTAATGATTCTTTTTGCTTTCCCTTTCCTGAACTAAGGTGAAGCAGTATTCTAAAGCAAAAATAAATGTGGTCGGTTTTCATACATTGTACTTCAATCATCTTTTTTCCAAGTTATATTTATATTTATTTTATTCCAATAGATTTCAAAGAGGTTAATGGACAAGAAATTCAAAGAGCAAATCACTGTTGCATTACAAAAGCTAGAGCAGTATGGTGGAAAGGTGAGTTGAACAGATTATTCTCTGTATTTTACATTTTGTTAAAAAATATAAAAATATACGTGAATTTAAATCATGTCAAGAAAACTTTGATTTCAAGTCTCTGAATCCTTCAAGCTTTGCTCCTGCAAAGACTTATGTATGTGCTTAACTCTACACACTGGAACGACTGTGTAAAATTAATCATATGTGTAGGTTTTGCAGGGTTGGGGCCTAGTGGTGTTGTGTAGTGATTCATAATGTGAAAATAGCTTTATTTTTCCTGTATATGAATTGTGACATAGAAGAGAAATAGAATCTACTTCATGTAATACAGTCACTTATAGCCTTTTATTTTACATTTCTATAGAGAATACTTAAACACCTAAATTGTCAAACATCCTCACACTAATTTCTTGTGCTCCTTCATAAGAAACTTAGGTGCACACCTTAACATGACATTCCAAGGATCCACACCTACATAGGGATCCACACAGCAGGCCTCTTAGTCCCACACTGAGTCCCCTTCAGTGGGACTCCATTGAGAAGTAACTGCCTGTCCATGTAGATGCCCTTTGCAAGATAAGCGTGTAAAACATTAAACTGTTTCTGCTAGGAGGTGTGTGCAACCTTACTGGTGAGACGGAACATTTGCTATTCTTTTCTTCCCTAGACACCAGAAGAGCTCTATAGTTCTACTTCCAGGGCTTGAAATTTGTGAGGAAAAAAGTTTACCTACTGCAGTGACATGTAATGTTTTTAAAATACTGGCTTTGTTAGCTAACCTAAAGTATTGAAATGTCCGACAGTAAGCATCAGTTTGATCCATGTTCTATCTGTAATAACATTTTGTCTTCCCAAACAAACAGGATTTTTTCCAAATCAATAATAAAACAATTACTAAGAAATACTAAAATTTTGTATAAAATAGTAAGAGATATTTTATACATTTTTATATTCAACTTTCTGATATCCACTTCTCCCTCTCCTTCTTTTATCCTGTTTTCTACCCTCTCTTCCTGTCCCCTTTTCTTAAGAGAAATTCTTAACCAGTATTGCACCCTTCTTTAAGTTCTCTCATTCCTCCCTTGTTGTCTTTAAATGATCTCCTAACCCTTATCGAAGATTAATTCTGCCTTTGTCAAACACACAGCTTCTATTGATTTAATTGAGAATTACATGCGTAAGAAGGCTTTCAAATTGGGCATTTGATTTTCTTTCATTCACCCTCCCACCTACCCACCCCTTCTTCGGTACTCACTTCAAATATTGAAGAGGAAAATAATGATGCCCCGTAAATGGTATTATTTAAAAACAATTTTCCCAGCAGAACACGTGGCTTATGGAATTTTTAAACCCTGTATGTTTTTTCTGCGAGTGCCTTTTAAAAGAAAAAAAAAATTTATTCGAATGACAGCAGCAAGAACTTAGCGGTAGTTAATAGATAACCCACAAGCCATTGGTACATAGAATCTACCCTCCTATAGTTCTCCCATCTATTTTCTTCTCTTATTTTACCAGTTCTTTGCATGTTTTTTTTTTAAAGTTATTTGTCTCTGCTACTTTTCCTATGAGAGAGAGAGAGAGAGATCTGATCTCTCTCAAAATATTTAATGTTTTTCTGTCTTCAACTCTCTTCTTTTGATAGTTTAGTTTGCATGATGGGTGTTTAGATATGTATAATTATAAGGAAATGTTGTAACACAGATTGCCACTTGGTTGCCTTCAGAACTAAGTGCTTCTTACTGTGTAAACTTCATTTTTATCAACAGGAGAGTGTAACTATCATCAAATCTAAAATTCCAACCTATTGTTCCATCTCCTTTTGAATGAGAGAACCATATAGTCATTTACACTGCGTAGTGTCGTTGTGGGCATCAGAAGCTGACTGTGGATGCTGTTGGAATTTCCTTATGGTACAACTTATTCTAGTAAAACTAACCACAAACATTCTGTAATCTGCTTGGGAGAAAAAATGAAGATTAAGAGAAGTGTGCCCATAACATCTTGTGAAAAAGTGTAATTATGGCAAACAGTTAATCATTTTTATTAGATATCTTTTTGTGTATCCAGTCTTATGTTTACCGTTACAGTCAATAATTGGTTATCTACCATCCATTTTTTCAGCTGTAAACAAAGTAAATGTTAATTCATTTTTGCTGTACATTCCTATTTCCTTTAATAATTCTGCCACACTTACTGTGTTTATCAAATGTTACATAAAAGGTAGAATTTGATTGTAATTATTAATTAAGCAGTAACTAACTCACTGCTAAAGTGCATATACATATTTATTTTATACGATTTCTTTCCATGATGAGTGTTAGAGATGAAAATATGAGTTTTCTGTTACAAAAGAACTGATTTCAAACTAGTTGTCCAGTGTTGCTCTAGTAGAGTAAATAGGATAAAAACACCAGGTGTTGATATTGGAATACTGTTTTTCATATTCCATCCCAGTAACCCTTCATTTTGAAAACTGTCACATTGGGAACTTAAATCTTAGCACAGTACTGAATTAACAGTTAATTCAGGATGCGTGTATTGAAACAGTAAATCCATTTGGTGAAAGAAATGCCTGTAGTCTAGTATTTTTTCAAAAAACAAAAACATTCTGCTTGTTTTTCTTTCTTGTATTTTATTTTTATATATATATAATTTTATTTTATTATTTATTTATTTTTTTACAAAATGTGCACAATTAGTTTACGCAAACACGCTACAGCAAATTTCAGGTGTACATGTATTGTACTACTCTTATTCCTACACTGGTGATAGCAGAGCAGCCTTCAACATTCCATCTCTACACCAGAATAGATACCTGATTTATTTTTGCAAAAATAATGGTTGCAGCATTCTTTCTACGCCAGTAGCCCCTTCACATCCTTTGTGCAGAAATGTCACAATAAAGATTGGCATATCTTCAGTAGCGTTTCAAAGTATTGGCCTGGAATCACTCAAAACAATAGTACAATAATTTTTATTTCTTAATTGTGATGGGGAAAAGATAATCCATTTTAATCTTTCACATCTGTGCACTTATGGTTTTTTAGGTCCAGAATTAAAGCTGTTCCTACTTTGATAGAATTAATGTTCCTCAAGAATGTAATAGTAGTACTGCTTATAAACAACACTGGTGTATAGCTAAAGTTTCTGCTTCTTTTTTACTCCCTTTTCATAGTAAACAGACCATTGAAACAGATATTAGACTGTCTAGATATTACTGCATTCTGAGCACTGAAGTGAGATGGAAGCTTCAAAAGACCATTATCTCCTTTTTCCTCATTAAAACCGGTAAGACACGTACTTCTGGAAATAATGGTAAAACTAGATTTTCTTCACAAAGAAATTTGAACTTAAAACCTTTTCAGGTCCTTAATTTTGAGCAGAAAACTTTGCTGACAGTCCAACCAGAATTACACATACAATATATAAGACTTCAGGTACTCATTTCATGAAAAATTCATAAATGCAGATTTATTAGGTAAGGATGATCTGTTTAATACCTACCAGTGGTACATGTCTATCTGAATCATAAAAATTTTTATTATAAAAAAGATTTCTTCCTCTTATGTAAGTTAGCTGGGCTTCAATCAAAGAGGAAAGAAAGCCAAATAAAATTGGATGTTGTTGTAGGAGATATGTATTGCTCATCAACTGTAGCAATATTTACTCAAAGTATTATGTAAAAATGAGCATTACACCATACAAATGTGAAAAGGAAATGCAGGATGATTTCTCTGTAAAAGAGAGGCTAAGACACTTTTTAAGGATTTTTAAGACACTTAAAATCCAGGGGCTGAATCCAATACAAACAAGTATCAAAAACAGCTATTTCTGATCTCCTTGTGTTAAAGCCTCTTTTATCTAGCGGTTGGAATGGTAATAAAGCTGTATAATGGCAAATGCTGTGCTGTTTTGGGGAGTTGTGGGGTAAAACCTAATACTTTTAGCATATCCCATTCGATAAAGGACAAATTATTACATCCTAACCTTTGGGAAATCATTTTTGGGAGGAAGGTCTTTATAATAAAACAAAACTTATTTGCATAATACATGTCTCAGTGTAAAGCTGAGCAATCCTACATATGGTAAATGTGGCAAATCCAGCTTTAAGTAATGTTGCAGAATAGTTCACATTTGTCCATTAATTGCAGACTAAACCACATTGTTAAATCACATTTTCAAAGAGCTGCATGGAACGCATTATGTTTTCATCCTGTAAGAAGAAAAAAAATATGTCAGATTATTTTATATTTCCTATACAGAAGTGTATAGAGGGGAAAAAAGTGGGTAGAAGTCACCAATGTTAGTTACTGACAGCAGCAACTTGTTTGGAAAAATTAATAAGTGATGATAAAATTTAACACTGAAACTGGTACTGATTTTAGAAAAAAATACCAAAACTATTAATAAATAATTACTGAAATTAAAAAAATTAAACTGAAAAGAGCATATTAAGTTAATTTGTGTTTTTGTTGAAACTGTCTACACTGTTTTGGAGATAATCAATTGAACTCTTGAAACTCTGTAAAAAAAAAAAAAAAAAATAGTATATAAATATGTGGTAACTTCCTACGTGCAGTTTGAGTACAGTCAGTAATTTCCATATATTTGAAATTGTTGCTTGGCACAGCATATTCTCCCCAAAAAACCCTTTGGCATTATCGGAGACTATTTTGTAGATTCAAGAACAATTTAAAACTGAGTCAGCATGTGCATGCAGCACGATAATTCTCCCAAATACGTTGTTAAAATTGTTGACTCCTCAGCTCAGATTTTCCCCACTGGCAGTACGACATAGCAAGTCTTCTCTGATTCTACTGCTTGTTGATATTAAATAGGGAACTAATTTAATCCATTTTTACTTAAACTTTTAGCAGTGCCCTTACACAGTTACACCTCTATCCCAATATAACGCGGTCCTCGGGAGCCAAAAACTCTAACCGCGTTATATCGAACTTGCTGTGGAGGGCCGGGTAGGGAAGGCTGTGCCTCCCCAAACAGCCTGGCCCTGCCCCCTATCCGACCCCCCACTTACTTCCTGCCCACTGACTGACCCCTCAAAACCCCCGACCCATCCAACCTCTCCTATTCCCGGTCCCCTTAACACGCTGCTCAGAGTAGTGTGTCGGAGCCAGACATGCTGCCGTCCTAGGCGCCGACTCCGTGGGTGCTCCGGGGCTGGAGCACCCACAGAGAAAAATTGGTGGTCACAGAGCACCCACCAACAGCTCTGCGCCCTGCCCCAGCTCACCTCCGCTCTGCCTCCTCCCCTCCGCTTCTCCCCCCTCCCTCTCTCCTTCCAAGGCTTGCCGTGAATCAGCTGTTTGGCGCAGCAAACCTGGGAAGGGGGAGAAGTGGAGCAGCGGCACACTCTGGAGAGGAGGCGGAGGTGGGTGGGGAGTGGTTCCCCTCCCCCCCCCCGGGCCCTCCACGCCCACCCATCCCCACCACAGCTCACCTCCGCTCTGCCTCCTCCCCTGAGCGCGCTGCTGCTCGGCTTCTCCCCCCTCCCTCCCAGGCTTGCGCAAGCCTGGGAAGGGAAATGCTTTACTGTGTTATATCCGAATTTGTGTTAATCGGATCACGTTATATCGGGGTAGAGGTGTATCTCTCTCGAATCATCAGAATGTACTGGTCATCCCCCCCCACTAAATAAATATACATAATAATGATGACTCACAGCTGTCACAGTAAAACTACCCCTTAACCTCCACCTCTAAGAAAATAATTTGGTCTTGAATTTAATATTACATCTTTCTCAGTAGTGAGTATCTTATGAAGAGTGCTATCTCCAAGACCAAGGTAGCTCCAGCTCCTTTTCCACTGCTTATTTCAGCTGTGATCTCTCAAGTAATTAGGGCTCAAATCATTCAGGGCTTTCTTAATAGGTTAAAATCCTTGCCTTGAATTCCACCCAGAAGCTTACTGATGATAAACTCTCAGCATGAAACTCCACCTAATAAACTAGCCCATGTTCTTCCCTAGCTCTAGTTTCCAAGTGGTCTTGTCATGTAGCTAATTACCATAAACCAATCTCGAGGCCAACTGTAGCAAGGGACACATCAGAGTGAAAATGGTGAATTTGTCTCAGCAAATGCAGCTGGAAGAAAGTGTACTTGACCAAGTCCATAACCTGGGCATCTAGGAGCAATTGAGTATCTTCTTAAAACCACATGGTTCTGCAGCTGTATTTAACAAATGGCGTTTGTACTCTCTCATTGAAGGTTGTCTGTATAATCATATGGCTCCTTCCCCCAAGCATTTTCTGTCTTATATGGATTGAACTGCAGCCAATAGATCCTCCCTCCACTCCCTTCAATAGATTATTGGTTCTACTCTATTAATGAGGTCAGATGTGATAAACAGTAGTAAAATACTTCATAACAAATCCAACAACAAAACCTATCTTCACATGATGTTCTAAACAGAATCAGTAAATACCAATTACCTACCAGCAAAAAATGTCTCCACTACTAGAGTTGTGATGCTGTGTGGAAGACTGTCCAAATTTCCTCTCTAATAATAGGATAGAACACCAGTCTTCGTAATGGTAGCAAGCCCATTTTTTACCCACTGCACTGTACACCTGTCCCAGTTCCTACAGTCTCTTTTCAGGAAAACTTTGGGTCTGACAGCTAATCATAGGTTTAGCCTGTGTTTTAAAAGCTTCTTTCAACATCTTTTTCAGTTCCAAAATAGGAAATGAATCTGTTCTTAGTCTTCCTATTCTATCAACAGTGTGATGTTGCTTTGTACTTCAACTATAAATCAGTAGCTGTTTGAAAGAATTTATTCAATCTGAGCTAGTAACAATCAGATATTATGTTAGGCAACTGACATAGTGCTAGTATAGGTTTTTAGGTCAATGCAATTAAATCTACTGATACTCTTGGGCTCCCTTTACCCATTTTATCCTTTATGCAAGACCACAGACTCTGATATATTGGAATTGTAATCAGTGCTATTGGCCTTGGAAGCTACAGGGTTTTTTTTAAGTTCTAGTGTGATAACTAGTGTAGAAGGCTACTAACTACATTAGTTTCTTCTATGGACAATTATCCAACTAATAACTAGTTTGCAAGTGTAGCAAACACAATTACAGTACCAACTCCTAAATTATGGAAAAGTATCAGAAAAACTGCATTTCACACTGTGTGCATATTAATTAACATATTAATCTTGGTGATATGGGCTAATATATACACACACACACACACAAAACCATTTATAAATAAAACAAGGACCTGGTACTAGCATTTGAAGGCTGATTTTGATCCTGCAATAATTGTATTTCAGGAACACACTGTAGGAAACACAGTTACACAGAGTAATTTTGCAGAAGAGAATTTCTCTCAGCTTTTGGTTCATTTTATGTATTGTTTTATCTCTTAAATTGATGAATAAAAGATACCATAGTGAACCTATTGCAAGAAGTAGAATGAGCACTGAGAAATTCCATTGTTTGATAATAAAGATAGAATCTATTAAATTAAGTCTGGCTACAATACTGTAGATGTTATATACAGTTGGAAATTTAAAAAAAAAGATGTTTTTTGGCCAAGCGTGATTAGATGCTTGACGTGTCATCTTCCATGTTGCCACCTGTAATTTTTAGTGTTGGCCTAAACAAAGTGTCCATATCTAACCCAACCATGCTTATCATTAAGCTCTCTTTGAGTAATCTGAAGCTCATCAAATGTGGGTTTTTAAGGAGTTAGGGGAAAAACAAAACACTGAGAATATCTGCTTATAGTCTTGAAAGGCCAAGTTCCAGGCATTGATGCCCAACACACCTGAACAGCCACGGCAAGATGTAGGAGATGAGTTTCCAAATCATTGGGCCCTGAAGTATGTAGGGATTTAAAGGTTGTCACTCATGCTATGAATCAGAGATGGACTACTCAGTGCCAACATATCTGATTACTCAGAAACAGCAAAGGCTGTAACAGCCTGCTGAAGTTGTGAATCATTCTGGAAAAGAACCACATTGTAGCCCTTACTGCACAATACCCCTCCATTCCTATAGATGAATTTTCCTACCCATCTGCATCATTGCCAACTTGTCCAGATTCCATCTGTAATTTTACACCCAGACTTATCCAAATCACAGTTAGGCACGGAGGAAATAGCAGAATTGGCATTTAATGAGAGGGAGACAGATGAATGCCATCTGCCTACTGGTGATCCATCTGCCTGAGCAGCCTTCCAGACATACTGAACAAGAGAAGTGACAAGATAAAACCCTACAGCACCCTATATCAGCTCTCTCCAGGAAAGAAAACTTACTCAGCAACACTGCAATCTTAGACAGGAGTGGATCCACTGCAAAGAATACTATCGATACTATGGTCAATGGTATCCAAAGCTTATTAGCCACCATGAGAAGTGCTATTAAGAATAGTAAATCATTGGCTAGGTCTCACTGTCTCCTTGTCTTTGATCCAACAGGAATTTCCAATGGAATACCTAGAGGTTCAAGTAAAAAAAACTGACAAAGTCCGTACCATCTTTTATATTTCCTGTGCAGCTTTCGGGCTACAAGGTGTTTATAAATTGTTGCTCATGGATAGACATGCTTTTCCTAGTCTTGCTTACCCATACCTGTATTGCGAATTCTTGTCTGCTGGCCCCCTTTTCATATATACCAAAAGGGCAAAACATTGACTCTGATTGTTGATTTTCCTAATCTCCTTTACCCTATCTAAGACAATCCAAATAGAGCTGGTATGTCCATTGAAATCTACTGTATTTTACTGTATTTATTGTTAGACAGAATTGATGGTTTTAGTTTGAGAAAAGAACTGTCAATGGCTACAACAATCTGCATGATCTAATCAATTGTTGCTAGCCCTTTTTCCAGTTTGGATCTCAACACTTGATCTAATGTAGTATGACACCCTCGGTATGTACCATGCTCCTCTAGTAGCTTGTAACCTTGTACAATGTACAAATAACAAGAAGCTTTGGTGTTTAATGTTTTCATAATAAAATTGCAGAACTTATTTTTATAAGGCTGTCTTGTCTAACTGTAGACAAGTTCTTAAATAATAGCTCATTCAGTTATCCTACAATGAATAAATGTGAATTCTGGCAGAGATATACCCAGCACAAGACTCAAATATTCACATAACAATTTGTCTACTACATGGTAGCTTTGCATAGGAAGAGACGATGCAAACACACTAGTGGAATAGGTGAACATTAGCTTTTCAAAAACTATCACCTCTATGAATACAAATATTGTATATGTTCGCACATGTAACTGACTGTTTTGTAGAACAGGTCGCCAGACATACCTTTTTGTAAAGGTGCCTAGAAGTGTAAGCTACATCTTTACACCCAAATCCTCTAATTGGTAGTACCATGTGACAACCCTTTAGCCAGCTGATAGGAGTAACTAAATATCTTACATTTATCATTACTTACTTTTTGGCAGCTTTCAATGAATTCATCTATGGTAACTACCCCATCTTTATTCTTGTCCATTTTCTGTCCAGAAAGATAAGAACATTTGCTTAAATCATGTTAAAATCCTACTTAAAAACACTGAATTTTATTACTTATTTCAGAGTTATATTGCAGGCTGGTGGCCACCCAGGTCAGGGTATCATTTTACTAGACACTATAAGTACATTACAGTCCCTGCCTCAGAGAGCTTCCAGTCTATAAAAGTCTAGACATAACAGATCAGTTGGACGAGTAGGTTGGGATGTGGGAACAGGGAAGATAGAGTAACAAAAATAATAGGATGTGCCAGTGAAAACATGGGAGTTTTCTTGTAGACCATCCTTTTTTGTTGTCTTGCCCTACCTGGAAAAATGTTTCCACATGTTGTCTAGGAGCATCCTCTTTGAGAACAGGATAAGTGCATTTTCCCATCATATCATATATAGCTTTCATAATATCAAGCATTTCCTGAAGAGAAGAACATGTTTATGTAAATGTTTTAGAACATGCTCAAAATCTTTTGAGCATTTATAGTTTAGAAGAAATATTTAAGACTGTGCCACAGTCAAATTGTGATTGAACAATTTCATGAGTATAATGCACATGGATCACTTTGAAATTTAAATTAGCTACTGACGCTATGTACAGACACTCCCTGGGTTATGCAACCCAGACTTACGCAAATTCACTGGAAATAGGATTTTTGAGTTGTGAAAATTTTTGTGTAACGTACGGGTATACGTTTCTGACTTATGCAAAATTTGAGTTACACAAGGCTTTCCAGAACGATTGTGTAAGTCGAGGGGCGTCTGTAACTGAAAACTCTTAAGTAGATGCAGATTTATGCTTCTGAATTTAAATACTTTACGATATCTAAAAGTCCAATGATATTGTGGAAAGAAAGCTCCAGTGGATCAGTAAGTGGAAACAAACCAACAAAAATTTGTAGCAGAAGGTGATTGGGCAAAATCACATCGCCTTCCTGTGTGTGAGTTTCCCCAGCTTTTGTAAGATGCTTTGAGATATGTCGCTGAAAAGTGCTCTATAAGAATTATTATAACCATGTAATTCATCTGCCAATATGTTGAATAAAATGCTGTATTTTAAAAAAAACAAACCCTTTGTAATCTTTATGTAGTGTCTTGCTGAAACTGTTAGTACCAGTACCATTTACAGTAAACACATTGAGTCTGATCTTGCAAAAACTTATGTGCATGCTCACTTCACATTTGAGTTGTCCCATTGACTTTGATGAGTAAAGTTCAGCATATGCCTAATCCTTGCAGAGTAAGGCCCTTTAGAAAACAATAGCATTTTAAAGTGTTCACTTGCATTTCTGGATACACATTTTTATGTACAAGTACCCTACACAGTTCTTGAAATTCTGTGGGCAAATGTAGGTATTCAAAGGCATGCCCATTGTGCCCATTCCTTAAGAAATTTGGCCAGCTATGTCTTCTATGACTACTAATAAAATATAAATTTGTGGCTAGTTCTTTTAAAAAAAAAAAAAGAGTTAAGTTTATATAAAATACATTTATTTTAAAGTTGGTGGGAAGAAAAAAAATTATCTAGTTGTTTGCTACCGAACTCAGTTTTGACAGCAGTTTCTCTAAAGCCATGTTCCTTTCAAACCAAACTCAAAGGGACACGTACATGCTGTGGTTTCAGTTATTGTGGCTACAAAATGAATTCTTACCTCTTTAGTTATGTATCCATCCTTATTTATATCATACAAATTAAAAGCCCAGTTGAGTTTTTCTTGTACTGTCCCTCGGAGTAAAATTGAGAGACCCATAATGAAATCCTAGAAAGAAAACAAAAAAAACCCCTAGGTAGTTTGAAGCTGAACTATATATTTCTAAATATGCAACTTTCAAATCCTGGACTCCAATGTGATAAATTCTCCAGTGTAATACCAGGCTGGAAAGAAGGACTGTTGCTTCGTCTTGTTTTTGGTAATTAGTTGTATGTTTTAAAAAAACATCTAGACTTTTTAGGTAGTACTGCCAATTCATGGTGGATTGCTCTATTATACAAGCAATAATCAGTTTTCTAGCCTCCTTCTGTTAATGGATTGAATGTACTGTAGCCTATGACTTAACCTTATAAAATGCTGCATGCAAGCCGTTCCTGTTGAAGTCAGTGTGGGGAGAAAACACATCACTGCTATGCACAGGTCCAGAACAAAGTCTATGTACTTCTTAAACACATGATTTAGGGCTTAACTGGAATTTAAATGGTAATAACTTATTGTGGAATGCTACATGGGAGTAAATGTCACACACGAGAACAATAAGAAAGGTAATATTCTCAGCTCTTACACCTCTGCAGAGGTTTTCTTCAGAGGCTGGCTGCTCTATGCATTGAAGCTCAACAAAAAAAAGGCAATTATGAGAAAACTATTCATTAGAGAAACGTAACTTTATTTTTACCTCCTCTATATGAAACACAGTGATAATTGTAAATTAAAATATTGTAGAGAGAGTCTACAGAAGTAAAACAACAAAATCTGAATCCATTGCTTTGATCCTTGGTGGTAGAGAACTCTGATGCATTAACATGTAGTGAGCTTTCAGAGAATGAAATTAGTCAGGCTACATTACTTCCCTATAGGCCAAGAAGACTAACGATTAATAGACTCGTGTTACACTAGTCCTAGAACTAGAGTTGTGTTTCAGAATTAATATGGTTTTATAGCAACAAGAACCTCATTCAAACGGAGAATTGACAAAAAAGTCAAACATTTATTAGTTGTATTTCGTTCATATTTTTAAAGAGACTTGGTGAAAGCAGGGCTTTATCATTCCCAGTCCCTTGTTGGTCCTGACCTGATTTTTGTGACATCATTGTTATTGCCATAGGGCTCATAACCAAATGTTGTTGTAAAGGCTCAAAGTCCTACCATAGCACCAAACCCATTGGCTACAAGGGTTAAATAATTCTGTACTGACACAGGCCAGGTTTACATGTTTATTCAGAGTTGAAAAAAAGCCAGTATTTTGGGGAAAACAGCCAAAGGGGTTGCATCAGGGACAAAGAGGGGCTGATGCATCATGTTTTTTTTCCTGTATGGCCATTACAGTTACCCTTCCAAGTACCTACTGAGGACAAGCTCAGCTAACGCCGCACAGCTCTATTAAAGTCCTGTCTTTCTTGACTAGTGTGCCCTGGGGCTTGCTGACGTTGTCATAGTTTCCAGTATTAATGCATCAGTGCACTCGCCTCATGAGGCATCTTAAAGATATGAATCCTGAAAAACATTTTACTGACCTTACTTATAGCTTCAGCATCACAGGGCTAAAGCACTATACAGCTCTTTGATAGCATACTGCCAAATATTAAACCATTATGCTTCAGGAAATTCAGAAAAAAATTGATCATATACTTTTAACAATCATCATTCCTATGTTGCTATTCTAAATCTTGATGGATCTTTTCCTGAAAAGTCTAATGCTGTAGTGTCAGCTTTCATGCAGGCATTTCCTCCCCATTCTACGCCTTTCTGGTGCTTCACCATTCTCTTGTTTGCGCTCCTTCACCGGCTGTACTCAAGCTACACTTCCTCAGAGGCCAAGCAGCAACATGGCTGATGACCAAATTAGCTATCCATTTTGGGAGCGGCAGAAAAATGTTCCTCTTGCTTTATCTTCCCATCTTAAATAGTTGTGCGTTCAAGGCTTAACGGCATATTTTGGAGCACCTCCTACATGGGGCTGAGTGCACATTGAGCCTCACGGGTGTTGACAAGACTCAGCTCTCAGGATGTGCTCCACATCGTACAAGATCAGCCCCTAGCTTGGCGTCATATTTTCAGCTCTATTACCCTTGGGACTAGTAGACACTACTGTGAAAGTAAATTGCTTTTTCGTTGAATGTTCACCTTGCCCTAAGGTATAAGTCCATCTCTGAACTGCTAATAAGGACTAACACTGGTAGGAAGTTGTGACGTGTTGCCTAAGAACCGAGTTTTTTTGCTATATATATGATTGCTGTGTTGTGGCTATCTGAAATTAAAGCAAAGCCTAGAGGGATGAAAAAGCTGATTCATCTTTTCCATTTAAAAAAAGTATAATTTATCTTTAATAGCGTACATTTTTAGCCTGCTCATGCCAATCTTCACTGTATATATTATTTATTTATGTAGATTTCAGTCTAAAAACTTGAGGATGCCTATCCAAACTCTGGGTGCCCTTGACATACATAATATATGAGTTCAAAATATAAATCACTCAAAACAGTAGCGTTTCTTCTTCCTGACCTTTCATCCATCATTTGTTCATGGAGGCCAATCCAGTTTAAAATTACTTCCTATTAGTTTTATTTAAATTGTGTGTGTGCAAAATTTAGTGCTTTGGGAAGCAGCCAAGTTATGAGTGCTGGAACATGAAATCCATTATTAATCCACATAAGGAGGAATACAGGCATCCATGTAGCTCACCTGTGTCCTTGAGAAACTATTTTGGTAAGAAGAAACTCTCTCTCTCCACCTCCTTGGGTTTTCAATTAGTGCCCATCCCCATAGTATCTAAGCACTGTCACCACGCTAAAACTATCAGCAAAAGTGCCAGCTGCGACTGTGGTCTTCTTGAGGTGAACCACAGAAATGGAAGAATACCATCTATAGACCACCAAACAAGTTCCTTTGGGTATGAGCCACAGACACATCCTTGGAGTCAATTCTGCAGCCATTCCATGCATGTTACTTTTTTACATACAGTGGCTTTTTATTAGTATTATTAAGTGCCAGTGTTGCATTTGGCCCAGTGCCAGGTTGACAATGGCTCCATGGAGCCGGGCCCATGCTCAGACGGGGCCCCAGCCTGCTCCACTTCTACTGTGCCCCAAGACTTTGCTGACTCCCCTGCCCACCACTTGCTCCTCTTAGCCTGTCCACTGGCTGGCCAAGGGTTCCTCTCTGCCCCCTGGCCCCATCTCCTGCTCCTCTTAGCCCCCTGGTCGGACCCCAGTGCACCTCTAGCTCTGGGCAGTCTCCGCTTCCACCACCTGTGGACATAGGAAGTCAGGGGGTATTGTGCAGGGAAGCTGTGTGGTGTGGCATGGGCCTGTCCCCGAGGGAAAGGGGCATGCTGGCAGCACAAGGCCAGGCAGGCCACTGCGTCTGGCAACTGCCGGTTTGTAAATAGGGCCCTCACATTGGGTGGAGCAGGGCCGCCCCTGCCATGCCATTCCCCATTGCCTCTCGCTGGCCCCTCGCTCCGGGGACTGACCTCCCTGCACCATGCTCCATTGCCCTCATGGGGGCCCACAAATATGTTTGGTGCCAGGCCCACAAAAGGTTAATCCAGCCCTGAACAAGATACAGAGGAAGACATGATTAGGAGCTTTTCTTTTCAGTTCCCCTAATTTTGAGTTTATGTTAGCACTCTTAAGGGTGTTACTTAATTGATTAGTTCTCCTCAAGGAATAACTGAGACAAAAGCAATCAGAAAGTCATTGACAACTTTGTTAAGAGATAATTAATCATCTTTGGAAAAACAAATAAAAGTTAAGTTACTCATAGAGCATGCCCAAAGGCTTTAAACAGCTCTTTTGCAGATAGGGCTAGCTCCACAAAGGGACGAACTTTTAAGTACCCTATACAATATATAAGGAGCTATAGGTGCATAAGCATGGGAGCCATAAAAGCCAGCATGCTGAGCTGCCTAGGTTTTGACAAGAGAGGTTGGTCTACACCTGCCATTCTTAGGGAGATAAGCACCTAACTCCAGAGCTTCTCAGCCATAATCTTTCTCCTGGAGTTTGGCATGTTAGCAGTGCTTATTTTGGGGCTGAGGCCTGGCACCTCTACGCTGGGCAGTTCATAGCCCCAGCACCTCTGGGCTTATCGCGTCAGTTATGAAAGTTTTAAAAAGTTGCTTGACCACCCCCCTCCCCTTGCACCTAATTGCTTGAGCCCCAGCACCTCTTTCCTTACCAATTAAGCACTGCGTGTTAGCTGGTTTGTTTGTTTGATTGTTTGGGGAGGAGGGAGGTGTTACAAGAAATGGAGATGGCGGCAGTAGACCCCTTACAGACTTTAACCCAGTGGTTAGGGCATTCACTCAGGATGTGGGAAATTCAGGTTCAATCCCCCCAATGTAGAGAAGGGATTTGAATTTGGGTGTCCCATCTCTAAAATGAGAGCCCTAACCCATGAGAGATGCTAGGATAGCACCCTCTCAGTCTCACCTGCATATTCTGGTGTGGGGCGTCTTCTGTTGACACAGTTCCACTGTCTAATTAACTATGCAATATGCCAAAGAGAGAGTCAGAATCATTCTACAGGCCAGTGGTTTGGGCATTTGCCTCAGAGGTGAGAAACCCAAGTTCAGATCCCTTTACTACATCTGGCAAAGATGGGATTAGAACCTGTCTCTCCTAACTACTATACTAAGGGGGCTACCTTTTTCTCCCCATCACCTCCAGCAATTTTGTGAGGATTTAGGCCAGCTCTGAGCATACATAATAGATCAGGCCCTGCAGATGAGATACGCAGAGGGAGCCTACTTTGAGGATCCCACTGGGGCTAAAACGTGAGATAGGCACCCAGCTTGAGGCAGCAGTGCTCATGCTCTCTGGCAAAAACGTATGCCGCTACAGGATGAGGCAGCGGTTGAGTGGGGTCTTGGAGCGTCTCAGTGTCACCTAAGGCTATGTCTACACTTTGAGTACAAAAACTGCACACACCCCCTAGCATGGGTATAAACAGCAAAGTAGATGTATCGTTACTCTGCTCCCCTAAGCAGTGTCTCACCCCCAGAACCTACAGGTATGTACCCTACACAGCTTTCTATTCATCCAAGC